CTTTCTAAATATACCATTATTTGCATCATATCATATAATTTACTATAACAAAATTATAAAATATGATATAAAAATTTGTTACACATCTACAACCGCCAAAAAACACCAATGCTTAATAGTTTCTAAATTTTGTCCAGAGTTTAAAAATACCCAATGTTAACATGTTCTTAGCTTTTTTGGAAAGTTATAGGGCAATAAGTACAAGTAGCACTTTGCTATTTCCAAACCATTTTTTTTTTTCAAAATTAACGCAAGTTACATTGTAACACTAATATCTCTCGAAATCCCTGATTAACACTTCACATGTATATATTTTTTAAAAGAAGGCAACCTAAGGTATTAAACTTGGGGTATTTTGACTCTTTTCATGCAACCATTGTACCACCAATCTAAACAAATTATAATAATTGGTGATTTTTTTGACACACATAGCAATTTAAGAATACATGTATGGATAGCTTTAAGGGTTACTGCCAAAGAACACCCCAATATGTGTTCAGCAACATCTCCTAAGTACTGTGATACACCCTCCTCCCCCATGTATAGGTGTGTTGGGTTCTCTGGGGGCTAAAAGACCTTATTTGGAGGGTGGGCATTCCAGTTTTCAAACTTGGAATTTTCACAGCTGGTCATCACGCACCCATGTCCTATTTGGGACATTTTTTAAGCCGGCTAATGTTATTTACCCCCATCAAACCATATATTTTTGAAAAGTAGACACCCTTGGGTATTTAAAATGGTGGTATTTTAACACTTTCCATGCACTAATTCTACCACCAGTTTTTGTCAACCTTTTGGGTAGTCATTTTTTTGTGTTATTTTTCTCTCACATTTTACTTTAGGCATGGATTCTCAGTTCCTGTTATGTGTTACTGACAAAAAAACACCCCAATATGTGTTCAGCAACATCTCCTGAGTACAACAGTGCCCCCAATGTACAGGTTTTATGTTTTTTTTGCAAACTTACAGGGGTCGAATGTAGGGCTTTCCCCTTTTCCATGTTTGCACATTGAAATTTGCCAGAATGGTTTGCTCGGCCTATATTGCATTTGAGACCATCTAGCAGCCCAGGAATGAAAATTATCCCCATCATGGCATACCATTTGTAAAAGTAGATAACCCACGGTATTCAAAATGGGGTATGTTCAGTCTTTTGTAGTAGCCACTTAGTCACAAACGCTGTCCAAAGTTAGCGTTCATATTTTTTTTTTTGCGTTTTTTTTTTTTACACAAAATTTGCACCTTTACTAGTGATTTCATCATCGTGATATGTTTTACTGTTTTAAACACTCATATTTGTGTTGAGCGAAGTCTCCCGAATATAACAATACCTCCATGTACAGGTTTCATGGTGTTTTGGAAAGTTACAGGGTCAATATAGGCCTGGCCTGATTCAGTTTGTCAGATTGGTTTGCTGGGTCTGTGTTGCCTATTGAGACCCTATGGTAGCCCAGGAATGTGAAATTATCCCCATCATAGCATACCATTTTCAAATGTAGACAACCCAGGGTATTCAAAATGGGTTATATCCAGTCTTTTGTAGTGGCCACTTAGTCACAAATGCTCGCCAAAGTTAGCGTTTTTATTTTTTTCAATTTATATTATATATACACACACACACACACACATATAATACGTGTGTATGTATGTGTGTTTATATATACATATAATGTGTGTGTGTACGTGTGTGTGTATATATATATGCACACTTTTATTTCCTATATATGTATAATATATTATAATTAAAGTATTTTATAATATATTATACATATATAATGCATATATATGATTTCATTATAAGTGTATTTTAAGATGTGTATATATCTCAAAGTACACTTATAATGAAATGATATATATGCATTAATTATGTATAATATATTATTAAAATGCTTTAATTATTTTATAATATATTATATATATATAATACAGACACTAATCACTTACTGACCGGGTTCCGTTCCTACGACCCGGTCATAGAATGAATCAGTCGATAAGTGAGGAGTTAAGGAATTCCTTGCTCTGGTGCGTTTGTCTATGTTCGCGAACACACCAGAGCAGGGAATCCCTCTAATCTATGTTCGGGGAAATTTTCCCATAACATATACATAGGCACCAGAGCAGGGAATCCCTAAGACGGCTCACACTTACGCCTGGTCGTAAGTGCGAGCCGTCATAAAACAGGTAGGTCGCTAAATGAGGACCACCTGTATATGTATGATTTCCTGGCTAATCATGGCAGCATTTAACATATGGGTTTAGCTCCTCCCCCCAACCCTCAGGACAGGAAACACAATCAATTAAACAATTAAGCCTACCTTCCCCTAGTATATTAGGTACCCCAGTATCCCCCACACCTCAGTCTTTTCCTGTCCTCCTAGGCCTAGGACAGTTTAAATATTTTTTTTTTCTTTTTTCAGTTTCTTCTGAATGATTTTTTATTTTTTGCTCACCTGACCATGTTTGATATGGTCTTGTCCCTTTGGAGGTCAGCCTCCCTCCTCAGGAAGCCCAGGCACATGCAGCCCAATCTCCATGGAGTTGGGAACCCCTGGGAGCCTGGGTGGTTAGTTCCACAGGCTATGGGAATCCTCTGCCGTCCAGTGTGTGCTGCAGACCTCGATCAGACGATCAGCATAACGGTAAGACGCCCGCGCATGCGCAATGCATCCGACCGGACCCAGAGTGAAGTTTGCCCCTTTCCAAAATGGCGGTTTAGCGATCTCGCGACCGAAGTGCGCATGCGCGATCATTTAAAGGTACAGAGCGGGAAATTTGAAATGGCGGTATTTAGCTTAAAAAACGCTCGTTTCCGTTCCCTTTAAAGATACAGTGCTCTAGTAGACTGTTCTTAAAGCTCTGCAGGTAAGAGAATTACTTATATTTTAAAATCATCATAATATTGGGCTGGGAATACTTTTCTTATTATTTTAACATTCTTAGCCCTACAGTCAGTATGGATCCTTCATCCCCTTCTGCAAGATCAACGAGATCTGCTATAGGTCATAGGTGAGCAATATTTTTTGGTTTCTTCACGTTACTAAAAAGAGTGCACAGAGGGTACAATCTTATGACTTCTGTATCTTACAGCCCTCGTGACCGGTCCTGTCCCAGATCCCCATCGAGGAGAAGGGAGAAGCCGGCAGCCTGCCCTGGATGTGGAGCAAGGCCTTTGGATAACTGCAGGCTCTGCAGAAAATGCTTAAACATGGCCGCAGGAGAATCTGATCGCCAGAGGTCACCGCAAGCCTCTACCTCCTCAGCCAAGGATATTGCTTATTGGATTAAGCAGGCAGTGGTTGAAGGAATTGCTGAATCCCACAAGATTAAGAGATCAAGAGGGGAAAACTTCAGCATGGATTCAGATCAGTCTGACGATGAATACAGACAAACTTCATCTTACCTGGATTTGGAGCCAATCTCGTCCAGTGAAGAGGAGTATATGGAACAACCTTGCTCCTTGGACTCCAAAGCTATGGAGCATTTGATTATGGCTGTTAGAAGAACATTGGATTTGCCGGAAGAAACCAGAGAATGTTCAGCTTCTGACAGACACTTTGGAGATTTAGATAAGAAAAGACCTTCCTTTCCAGTCCACAGCTCTATTAAAGACCTGATGAGGAACGAGTGGCAAATTCCTAGTAAGAGGATTACTAGTCATGGTCGGCTTTCGAAGTTATATCCGATTAAAGAGGAGGATTCCAGATTGTGGACTACGGTCCCCAAAGTTGATGCTCCTATCATTAAGGTTGCTAAAAGATCCACGCTACCAATTGATAGCAATGCTTCCCTTAAGGAGCCCATGGATAAAAGGATTGATGCTGATTTATCTAAAGCTTTCATGACAGCGGGTTTAGGTTGCCATCCAGCTGTGTCCATTTCGGCTTTGTCTAGAGCCATGCGTTCCTGGTTGCTTGACTTGGAGGATGACATAGATAAAGGGGTCAGTAGACGTCAGATGGCGGAATCCTTAAGGGATATCAAACTCGCCAGTGACTGGCTTTTGGAATCCTCCACTGACCTCATTAGAATTCTTTCTAAGGTTATGGCACATTCAGTCACCGCTAGAAGGGCGCTTTGGCTGAGATCCTGGGGAGCAGACCTGTCATCCAAGAATAATTTATGCTCACTTCCCTTTATGGGAGAAGTGCTTTTTGGGAAACCTCTGGATGAAGCGATTAAAAAGGCGGCCGAGGTTAAACAGGTCATGCTGCCACAAGATAGGCGTCCAAAGAGACCTCGTCTGGACCGTAGACCTTTTAGGGATCAAGGCTACTTTAGGGAAAGTAAGACTTACAGGCCAGGTAGAGAATTCTCAAGGAATTCCAATTGGAAGAGCGGCCTGAATGGGAAATCCTCTAGGGGCAAGACGCAGACCTCTTCCTTTCGCCCCAACAAGCAATTCTGAAGGTGGCTTACTCCAGGTTCCTCGAGTGGGAGCACGTCTTTCATTCTTTCAGAGGGCCTGGGAAATAATTCCAGATGCTTGGGTAAGATCCATTATCACCGGAGGTTATCATCTGGAATTCGACGAATATCCACCTCCACCAAGGTTTATTCGCACAAGGCTTCCAGCCAACATCCAAAAAAGAGAGGTTTTGACTCTTTATGTCAACAATCTTCTTACGGAAGAAGCCATCATACCTGTACCCATAAAAGAAAGATTCCAGGGATATTATTCCCCCCTGTTCTTGGTCAAGAAGCCAGAGGGAAAATGGAGGCCTATTTTAGATCTCCACCAGCTCAACCTTTATCTGAGAGTCAGAAAATTTCGGATGGAATCCATTCGCTCCATCATTCCGGTTGTTCATCACCAAGATTGGATGATATCAGTAGACCTCAGGGATGCATATTTTCATGTCCCTATCACGTTCACCCATCAAAGGTTTCTCAGGTTTTGTGTCCGGAAGGAACACTTTCAATTTCAGGCCCTTCCTTTTGGTATAAGTACGGCCCCGAGGACCTTCTCGAAGGTTCTGGTCACCATCATTGCTTTGCTCAGAAAAGAAGGTGTAGCGGTGTTTCACTACCTGGACGACATCCTGGTAGTGGCTCCGGACCTAGCATCAATATTCCAACACAGGCAATTAGTCCTCAACACTCTATCTCATTTCGGTTGGCTCATCAATTACGAGAAGAGTCACTTGCATCCTTCAAGAGAACTGATATTCCTGGGAGCAAATTTCAATACAGACACAGCGATTGTATCCCTCTCACACAACAGAAAGATCAGACTTCGAGATCGGATAAGGGACTTCAGACTAAAGACTTCAGCCTCGGCAAGAGAGTTTATGAGACTTCTGGGGACTCTTTCCTCTACGATAGAACTTGTCAGATGGGCTCAGTGGAACCTTCGCCCTCTTCAACAATTTTTCCTAAAAAATTTCAGGACCGACTCGAGGAAATGGGAGACGCTGATTCGCATTCCTTTAATTCTGAAGCAGAAGCTCCTTTGGTGGATGTCGTGGGAAAATGTCTCCAGAGGGTTCCCCTTGCGGGAAATAGATTGGGTGGTCATTACGACAGATGCCAGTCTGACAGGTTGGGGGGCACATTTAGGTGCACTGCTCTGCTCTTTCAGCTCTTTCCGGTGTTCATTGGGCATTGAATCCTATTGTAATTCGCTTCTTCAAAGCAGTCATTAGGATCAGACCTCCTATCAAGGTTTTCTCTGCTCCTTGGAATTTGCCTCTGGTTCTGCAGGCCTTGACGGAACATCCCTTCGAACCTATTGATGAGGTCTCTATGCAGGTTCTTTCTCTCAAGACCCTGTTGTTACTGGCCTTGGTATCTGCTAGGAGAATGTCAGATATTAGAGCACTGTCGTCTGAAGAACCGTTCACTACCTTCTTCGATGATAGAGTTGTGCTATGGCCTAGACCTGAGTTCCTTCCTAAGGTGGTTACATCCTTTCATCTGAATCAAGAGATTGTCCTGCCAGGGTATTTTCAGGAGCCATCGTCTCCTGAGGAAGAAAGATGTCATACGCTAGACCTAAGGAGGTGTCTTTCCACATATATTTCACGCTCTGCTGATTGGAGGAAGTCTACCCAATTGTTTGTGATACCTTGGGGTTCTCGTAAGGGTGAAGCTGCCTCTGTCGCAACCCTTCGTTCTTGGACGGTTCAGGCTATTTCTAAAGCTTACAGAGCTAAACAGGTTCCAGTTCCCAAGGACATCAAGGCACATTCCACAAGGTCCATTGCTACTTCATGGGCTGCAGAGTCAGGAGTTCCTGCGGAGAGCATCTGTAAAGCTGCCAATTGGTCATCTTTAAAAACCTTTGTACACCACTACAGAGTGGATATCTCATCTCGTTCTGATTCAGAGTTTGGCCTATCGGTCCTGAACTCTTATAAGCCTTAAGTGGATATTAAACAGTTTTTTGTAGCATGACTTACCCTCCCTGAGTGGTTATTGCTTTGGTAATCCCATATGTTAAATGCTGCCATGATTAGCCAGGAATAGAGAAAATGTATTGATACTTACCGTAATTTTCTTTTCCTGGCTATTATTCATGGCAGCATTTGGTCTCCCACCCTCTCTTGGTTTATTTTGTCTTGTTACTAGACTGAGGTGTGGGGGATACTGGGGTACCTAATATACTAGGGGAAGGTAGGCTTAATTGTTTAATTGATTGTGTTTCCTGTCCTGAGGGTTGGAGGGAGGAGCTAAACCCATATGTTAAATGCTGCCATGAATAATAGCCAGGAAAAGAAAATTACGGTAAGTATCTATTAATTTTCTCTAATATTTATTTTATTTTACTTTTTAGCAGCCTGGGGGACTGCCTGACAGCTCAGACAGTCCTCCTGCTGGCAGCTCCCAGAGTCCTATTACGGCAATGTGATCATGGTGATCACATGGCCCTGGAGGGCCAGGGTGGCCGGAGCTGCTGCAGGGGGACTGCTGGAGACCCAACCGACCGTGATCGCCGTGGATGGCTGTCCAGGTAAGTCCAATGCTCCTATTTGCCGCGGACATACTAGGTAAGTCCGCGGTCCTTAACAACAGTTTTTTGTCAGACGTACTTAGACCGTCCACGATCGATAAGAGGATATACATAGGTATATATATATGTATATATATATATATATATATATAAATCAATAAAGGGAGCACACCAGGACTTCAGTAAAGTGCAAAAAGTATTTACTGTATCCAAAACATGATACAAATTCTGTGTAGAGAGAATCAACGTTTCGACCCTACCGGGGTCTTTATCAAGAATTTGTATCATGTTTTGGATACAGTAAATACTTTTTGCACTTTACTGAAGTCCTGGTGTGCTCCCTTTATTGATTTTTATATATATTGGAACGCGGGATTGCACCCAGGCATTTGAGCCTTTACTAGAAGGATTTTTGGGTGGAGTGCCTTGCCCATTCATTTTTTGTATTTATATATATATATATATATATAATTTCATTCTAAGTGTATTTTGATATAAATATATATATATACAGTCAGGTCCATAAATATTGGGACATCGACACAATTCTAATATTTTTGGCTCTATACACCAGCACAATGGATTTGAAATGAAATGAACAAGATGTGCTTTAACTGCAAACTTTCAGCTTTAATTTGAGGGTATTTACATCCAAATCAGGTGAATGGTGTAGGAATTACAACAGTTTGTATATGTGCCTCCCACTTTTCAAGGGACCAAAAGTAATGGGACAATTGGCTGCTCAGCTGTTCCATGGCCAGGTGTGTGTTATTCCCTCATTATCCCATTTACAAGGAGCAGATAAAAGGTCCAGAGTTCATTTCAAGTGTGCTATTTGCTGCTGTCAACTCTCAATATGAGATCCAAAGAGCTGTCACTATCAGTGAAGCAAGCCATCATTAGGCTGAAAAAACAAAACAAACCCATCAGGTGTGACCAAATCAACTGTTTGGAACATCCTTAAAAATAAAGAACGCACCGGTGAGCTCAGCAACACCAAAAGACCCGGAAGACCACGGAAAACAACTGTGGTGGATGACCGAAGAATTCTTTCCCTGGTGAAGAAAACATCCTTCACAACAGTTGGCCAGATCAAGAACACTCTCCAGGAGGTAGGTGTATGTGTGTCAAAGTCAACAATCAAGAGAAGACTTCACCAGAGTGAATACAGAGGGTTCACCACAAGATGTAAACCATTGGTGAGCCTCAAAAACAGGAAGGCCAGATTAGAGTTTGCCAAACAACATCTAAAAAAGCCTTCACAGTTCTGGAACAACATCCTATGGACAGATGAGACCAAGATCAACTTGTACCAGAGTGATGGGAAGAGAAGAGTATGGAGAAGGAAAGGAACTGCTCATGATCCAAAGCATACCACCTCATCAGTGAAGCATGGTGGTGGTAGTGTCATGGCGTGGGCATGTATGGCTGCCAATGGAACTGGTTCTCTTGTATTTATGGATGATGTGACTGCTGACAAAAGCATCAGGATGAATTCCGAAGTGTTTCGGACATTACCTGCTCATATTCAGCCAAATGCTTCAGAACTCATTGGATAGCGCTTCACAGTGCAGATGGACAATGACCCGAAGCATACTGCAAAAGCAACCAAAGAGTTTTTTAAGGGAAAGAAGTGGAATGTTATGCAATGGCCAAGTCAATCACCTGACCTGAATCCGATTGAGCATGCATTTCACTTGAAGTCAAAAGTGACAATGCCCCAAGAACAAGCAGGAACTGAAGACAGTTGCAGTAGAGGCCTGGCAGAGCATCACCAGAGATGAAACCCAGCGTCTGGTGATGTCTATGCGTTCCAGACTTCAGGCTGTAATTGAAATATAAAATAATAGAAAAAGGCTGCGCACACAAGTAAAAATGAAGTCCAATGTAAAGGAAAAGAAAAGTCCCAATGTTTATCCTTACAAATGGTCTTTGTTAATGACGTTCTTCTCTTAATGTAGCGGTTCCACTTATATGAAAGAGAAAAAAGGAGAGAGAATGGCGACCAATAGTGTAGTATATCAAATTCTGGTGTGGACGTAAAAAATAATAATAATATAGAACTCACATTTACCAGAGCTATTTTCCTAGCTCTGGGGTAAAACGCATGCAGCGATTAGATCCCCGCTTATGGGATTTGGATGGGTTCCTCTCTGTGATAGTTGTCCAATTCTCGGAATAAAAGAGACAGCCAATAGTGCTCACTGTATAGCAATATGGATAAAGTAATAAAAGAATGTACTTACAAAGCAGGAGCAGATTTCCTGCTCCGTGATGACAGCTTGGGTGGATTGATCCCCACCTCGGATTTCTTTTAGTACAGGAAGCTTCCAGGAATTCTCAAGGTTTTTATTAAAACCAGTAAAAAAGAATAAAAATAATAATTAAAAGGCCAGGGTTTTAAAAAAAGGGAGAAAATTATGTGTCTATAAAAAAGATTATTGGCACAAATAAATAACCAAAAATACTTTAATATATAAAAAACACAATAATTAAATTTCCATAACGCGTTTCGTCAAAGACTTTTTCAAATGGTTATTCCATTTGAAAAAGTCTTTGACGAAACGCGTTATGGAAATTTAATTATTGTGTTTTTTATATATTAAAGTATTTTTGGTTATTTATTTGTGCCAATAATCTTTTTTATAGACACATAATTTTCTCCCTTTTTTTAAAACCCTGGCCTTTTAATTATTATTTTTATTCTTTTTTACTGGTTTTAATAAAAACCTTGAGAATTCCTGGAAGCTTCCTGTACTAAAAGAAATCCGAGGTGGGGATCAATCCACCCAAGCTGTCATCACGGAGCAGGAAATCTGCTCCTGCTTTGTAAGTACATTCTTTTATTACTTTATCCATATTGCTATACAGTGAGCACTATTGGCTGTCTCTTTTATTCCGAGAATTGGACAACTATCACAGAGAGGAACCCATCCAAATCCCATAAGCGGGGATCTAATCGCTGCATGCGTTTTACCCCAGAGCTAGGAAAATAGCTCTGGTAAATGTGAGTTCTATATTATTATTATTTTTTACGTCCACACCAGAATTTGATATACTACACTATTGGTCGCCATTCTCTCTCCTTTTTTCTCTTTCATATAAGTGGAACCGCTACATTAAGAGAAGAACGTCATTAACAAAGACCATTTGTAAGGATAAACATTGGGACTTTTCTTTTCCTTTACATTGGACTTCATTTTTACTTGTGTGCGCAGCCTTTTTCTATTATTTTTTATTTATCCAGTTTTAAAGGGTCTGAGGGATCCCCTTTTAAAGGCTGCTGCCTATAAGTTATCTAGCGCTGTCTCATTTCTATATTTTGTGTAATTGAAATATACTTAGTATTAAATGTGTGTATCCACAACTCACAAAGCTGTGGGAGTGGAACACACAAAGGTCAGGATGGTGGTTCAAAATCCACCAGTAGAGGGCTTGTACCCAAAATAAAATATTAGAAAAATAGAGAGTGGTAAAGTCTCAATAAGATGAAACTCAGAACTGGTATTAAACAAAATATAGGAAATGCTTAATACATGTTATGAGTAAAAAGTCAGCACTGAGCACTGATAGAGAAAATTGTCCATTCATATATAATATTTTATATATGTTAATTCCAAAAAGTGCCACAAAAACTAATAGAATTAAAGATACTTTATTATGATTCTGATAAAAGAGAAAGGGCACTATAGATGGAATGTCAAAAATAAAAAAATAATAATAAAATATATAGAAAAATGGATCAAATATCCTAAAAACCTAAAGTAGGAATATAATGGCTAGCCTCAAAACAATGAGGTGGAATAGATAGCCATAAAGACAATGATTTTCTATACAAAAGCATTGGATTGGGTGAGAATGTCAATTTTTATGATCTCAGCTAAGGAGGTGTATCGGGGGCAGAGTCAATGGCTGCAGATCCACGCAGAGCTGGAATAAAGGTACATTTTAGACCTTTTTAAGGGAGGAAAGGGGGGAATATCTGGCCAGTGTTTTTATAGGAATAGATGTTAGTGCTGCCCCTTTAATGTAAAATAGATCCAGAGACTCTGTAGGTTGTCAGATGCACTTATTATTCAAAGGATGGGGTATTTTTTTATACGTTTTGGTTTCTAAAGATAAACTATCTGGCAATAGATGCTTTTCAGGATTAATTTCAGTGGTTCCAGGGCTGACAAACTGAAACCAGCTCTCCCAAAGCTGGAGCAGAGAAAGGCTCACTGTGGTCTCCTAAAGCAAAATTTAGATCCAAGATTTCCTTACAAAAAAACTAGCCCTGGCCCTTAGGCCTCCTCAGGCAGAAGTTAGTTTCAAAGCTTACATAGTGCTCAGTCCACTTGAAATCCAGCCTTGGGCTGTACATATCTGGCCTGGGACTGAATTGTGGCAGAAGTGCTTTGGTTGTCAAAGTCTTGGTGTTCTAGAAACTAGCATTTAGATCAGGGGTCCTCAAACTCCGGCCCCCCAGATGTTGCTGAACTACAACTCCCATGATTCTCAGTCTATTTCATTCATAGAATCATGGGAGCTGTAGTTCAGCAACATCTGGAGGGCCGCAGTTTGAGGACCCCTGATCTAGATTTTTTGATTAAAAGAAACCCGTTGATCAACGTAACTCTTTATTTTTATTTTTTTATATATATATAACGATCCTTTTATAATGTTTTTATAGGATACAGATTTGTTAAATGAAGAGTATGTTTAAAAAAAAAATTAAAAATTAAAAAGCAGAAAACTACCCTTATCCAACAATCTCTACTTCACTACTGCACAGTGCAGTGACATCATCAGACCAAATAACAGTGAAATGCAAACACTGTCTGACCCAAGGTGTATGTATAGGACTGAAGAATCCTCTCATATACTACAGGTAGGGATTAGTGTCCAATTTTTTTCATATACTTTCTTTTAAAAAAATCTATTTCCCTTTAATACTTAAGGAAATGATTATTTTATTTTTAAAAATTGCTTTGCGATGACAGTTCTTTTTTAAAAAGAAGGAACAGCGACATAATGACAAATGACTGGGCTTGGGACATTTAGGAGCTGTCTAAGGTATATCCGAGGGTTCCGTTCTCTAATGAACGAAAATAAATAATTCACTAAAGCCTCAAAAAGTTGAACTATCGTTTAATGAAAAAAAAAAGGACTGATTGGAGGTTGTTTTCTGTGAAACAGACAGTGTGTGCAAGCGATACAGTCACAGTCACAGATACAAGTCCAAGGAGGCAACATTTAGCAGGTTGAATAATCATAAAACAATAGCGTTTCTTTGTTTCTCTCCAACGTTCCCATAGAAACAAATGGAACAGATTCTAATCTTCAATGTGAAATAGCAACTGAAAATGACAATGTAAAGACACAAATGTTACTGTCCTGGTGTTCTCCAGAAATCAGTTAAATACTGCCACCTGCTGGTGTCATAACACACGTTTTGTTTGTCACTTTTCAGTAGTACACATAGCATGTATTTATTTTACAATAAATGGGTGTGTAGACATACAGACACGTAGTTTTAAAAATATAAAACAAAATGTATAAAAAAATAACCAAAACAACTGTAGCTTCATAAAGCAATTTTAATGTTTAGATCATTCATATGCAGCCTCACTGGGGGGGCTATAGATCATTACCCCCCCTTTACAGTTGGCACTATGCAGTCAGGTAGCATTCTACTGCACTTCGATAACCCAGACCTTTTGTTGTAAGACTGCCAGTTGGTGTGATTCATCTCTTTCCAAAACACGTTTCCATTGCACCGAGGACCAACGTAGGTGAATCCTACAATACTCCATGATTGGCATACCACAACTAGGTCTTACTTTAGACAATTCAAAATCTCAGCACTTTTAGTTGGGGAATCTTAGGCAACGCAGAAATGTGATGAACACACGTTCCCTGTGATTCTAGAGATGTTCTACAGAACCACAACCAATATTTGTAATACTTTATTTCTGTATTTATATCAGTATTTCTCTGCATTCTGTTGCAGAACTGAAATGGTTCATATTAGAGAAAGCTAGAGAGATTCTGCATGGCAAGACTTCATCTCAATTTAGTGGTTATTATATAAAAACAGGTACAATGCAACATTTTTAATAAACCATTTTTCTAATATATTGAAATTTAAAAAAAAAAGTGCCCACCCTGTCACCTAGACACATCCCCCTCTACAATTACATGAATAATGCAGAAATTACAATCCACTAATCAAGTAGGCGGTGAATAGCTGAGAGTACTGGAGGCTCTTGTGCTTTTCTTGCCCATTTTCATTACATTCCTCATACTCAATTTCTCTACCTCACCTTCCTTCCTGCCTTCATTCCAACCTACAGTTTTACCTTCCACCATTGGAAGAGAGGGCAAGGTGAGCAGAAGGACAACTGCCCCTAAGCCACTTGCATGGGAGAACTGGTAATGGAGTTGTAGGCTGCAGCCTCAAACCATTCTTCTGAACTAACATAGCAGGAGGTGGGTTTGGATATCTGTTTGCACAGTTCTCCAGAAGTGAGATAGTGGGACCTTTGCCAGGCTGGCACTGTTTGGGTGTTTTCAATGCCCTCCATGCCTGGACTGGCCCATATGGATATTTCCTGGTAGCCTGTGGTATCGGATTCTAACCAGACTGACTGACTACACTGAGTTTGTATGATGTCCCTGGAAAGGTCTGCCAGTGACCGCAGAGTGAGATGAGACCATGACAAGCAAAGCATTATACAGTTGACACTAGTAGCTATAGTCAGTGGGAAACAAAGCCTTAGTTTTAAACATTAGCCTTAGCTCATAATACGCTGAGGGTCAAGGTTGGTCATTAATGTTCTTTTCTAAACAAATCAAAATGTGCTGTGCTATACAAATCTTTTAATCCAAAATAAATTACACCTATACATGTGTAGATTCTTCATCAAAATTATACACATACTTCAGGTATATCTATAACATAAAATACCAACATATAGTGCAGACAAATCTTCTTCTAGCAAATGCACCAGAAAAGATTAGTGATGCCTTTAGGCTATTACTCACTTGACCCAGATTCTGTATTGCCAGCTTTGGGAACGCTGGTGTATTGAAAGAGGGGAAAGAAGCACCCCAATTATCTGGGAAAAGACGTCCATCGATGCTTTCAGGAAATTCTATGTAAAGAGAAAGGTGGAGCAAACCGGATAGTGTAATACTGCTAAAATAAAATATTTTGTTTTGCTACATTTATACTCTTACATTTAAAAAGTGAGCTCTTAAATCAGGAAACTCATGAGCTGCACAAACATGCAGGCAATGTTCTTTTCTGTCCATGCAAAACACAAATATCACAGTAAAGAAAATGCACTGGATTTCTTTGATTAGAAACATCTGGTGTTTTCTGTTAATTCGTCTTTCTATTATTATATTTGCTTATTTCTTTGTCCGAATGGTTCTAATGGTTGTATTTTTTTAAATATCTCACGAATAAGGCTTTCTACCATTCTACCTGTGTCTGATATGTTTGATAGGTGATCCACCTGCTATTTGTTCGAATGAGATTAATTTTAACACTGTACTATGGTTGGATATATGGCATTTGTTCTCCTAGTTGACTGGATATTGAAACGTTTGTTAAAATAATTCTGTCTTTATGTTTTACAGTACCATTGAGCGGGTTTTAACATACTAATAAACATTTGCCGCTTTTATGTTTTTTTGTTTTTTTTATTTGTTTATAAATTACCTGTAACGGACCGTTTTGCACAAAAGGGAAAAAAAACCACTTAGACGATAATCCCCTTTCAGAGACAGGCACAGCTACTGTAGAATCACCAAAACTCACGAACTGAATACAAGTGAATGCTCCAAACTCCCGATACGGCATAACATACAAGGGAATAAGGTAGCACTCCAAATACACGAACAGGAACCATACGAATTGCTGCTACCAGACGAACAGGAAAAGCTCCCAAGCGGCTTACACTCCTGGCAATCAGTCCTTAGCAGCATACAGTAAATCCCCCCAAAGACGAGACAAGGCTCCGTGTTGAGGGTCAAGCAGTGGTCTGTTTAATGAGTGGTCTGTTTAATGAGGGCTATTTATGCAGGTCTCCCACCTGGTGGACACTCCCCTAGGGGACCACATGGGAGACTGTGACAAGGGACAGACAAGTAGACAAATAGGACACACAGTCACAGTATTTCCCACAATGCATCCTGGCCTCCTCCCCTCTGCCCTGGGAGATAATTGGGAAGTAACTCAATTATCTCCCAAGACAAAGGCAAAACTCCATTACACACGTGGGGACACAAAACCAGTATTATACTTTAAAATACATAAAGTAACATTTATTCCACAAAACACAGACATGTAACATATCCCCAGATAGCTCAGGTCTGAGTGCACATTATTAGGTGAATGGCACTCAGACCACACGAATACAGTTTAATCGCCATGGAGCTAAAGTCTTTACACAGTCAGTTTCATACGAATGGGCTCCATGGGATTCCTATCTGGGGTATAACATTTTCTAACAAAACTACCGAACACCGGGCCGTTCGTGCACTTCCACCGAACAAGAAGGGAGGTCGGCGGCTTCAGCGGTGTTCGCACAAAACTGTGTCCGATTTTAGTTCCATGAAAATAGAGGCGAACACCGCTGTGCATTCGTATGGTTAAAATGGCCGCGACCTCGTGTTCGGGATACGAATGGCGGCCACCCAGCATTCATCAATTAAGCTGCGGTTAACCGCAGCTTCAGGGAGGTTAATTGCCGGCACACTCCAGCTCCCAGGTGGTCCAGTCATTCGTACGGTTGTTCGGTAGATTGAATCTACCGAACCCCAGGCAGAAAAGCACGAATACAGCTTTTCTGCAGGCAAAATAAAGTCTTTTAAAAGGGGGGCATAGTCCAAAGGCAGCAGGCGAGCAACCAGGCTTCTCCAATGCAATGTGGCGAGATTGGTCTCGTCACATTACCAAACACTTTTTACGCAAATTTAAAGAAACACTATGGTGACAGGAATACAAACATGTATTTATGTTAATATAGCTGTGAAAACATAGTTTAGGTTCTCGCCTCCACTCCAATCAGGAAAGCAATAGGTGATTTTACTCACCTTTATTCCAGCACCGCATGGATCCAGGAGCACCTCTAGTGGGCGTCTGAGTGACTGCACTAGAGGTGTTACGAGGCAGCAATGTAAACACTGCCTTAATTAAAGGTATTGCTGAGGTTAGGGTTCCTGAAATTTGCAAGAGATGCAATCAAAGACTGTAGTTAATAATTCTGGCTGCAATCCTTAGAATGTAATCCCTCTAGCTATCTCAAGCCCCAGCTTAGTGAAAAGCCCTGAATATATCTTAAAGCTATGCCCTGTAGAAGCCAGTGCAGTTCTACTGTAATGCCTTCAGGAAGGGCAGGAACCAATCTTGTCACAGTAACACCAATTAGAAGCCAAATCCGGTCCTCAGGAAAAAGTTTAAAAAACACACATATATGCATCAATTGACAATTACCTAAACTCTATATAAACAACTGTAGACATTCTTTAAGAACCTGACATTCACTTAAAAAAAAAAAAAAAATCAGAAAGAAGCAGAATTTACATTAGCTTGACGAATAGCATCATTCATGCACAAAGAAAACCTATACAAGTTAGTCAGGTCTAACACATTATTTGCACTCGCAGGACGAGGATGATGCTGCCACCATGGTGGGGGAGATTCTGCTGCAGCTATAATTGAGAAAATGAAAAGGGGTAGCAGGTGCTATGGTTTATAATCTAAGAAAAAGTATGAGTAGTTACAGATGGCAGAATGTTATCTACATGAAAAATCTTGAGTTTTGGTATTTTTACTTTTGTCTTGTTCTGTTTGAATATCATTGCAATTACACCACTTGAAAAGGTTAAACTTAATGGACTTAACTTCCATCAACTTGTAAAAATTATACAACCAAATAATCTACAGAGATCTTTCACTTACCTGCAGGCATGCCTGGTGGTAGTGCTCAGCACCTTCGTTATACAGATATCGGAATAAATGTCACAATTAGGTTTATCTTTAATGAGCTCTAAACATCGTGAGAAGTGAAAAAAACTGTTTAATGAGGTCTTGGTATTTTTTGCATTTAACAGTTAATTAAATCTGATCACGGATTTGAATCTCCTGAAATAGACATCAACTGGAGTCTTTGAATTAACTATGTACAGAAAAGGGGAGCACAGCCATCTCAAAAACAACAACAAAAAATAATCAGAAAATAACAAATATATATAAAATAATGTCAGATCTCAGAAAATGTAACCATTCACTGTCTACATTTTCTTCATTTTCTTCTTTGGGTGCTGGTTGAAAACTGGGGAAGATGATCCCATGAGGCTATCCGGAGAATGTGACCCATAGCTACCCTCCGACCCGTTGGGACTTCCAGGAAGGGCAGAATCACTCATCCCAGACATGGGTTCTTCAAACACATCATTCCCCAAACCACTGTGTCCATGTACATTCGACTCCTCGTTTTCCTGGGGCTCCATTTTCACTTGTGTCAGGCTCCACAGGGGTGAGGTATTGACATCAGATCCTAAAGAGAGAAAAATAAATTCACATAAACATCTTTTGTTCTATCACCGGGAGATCAGAAAATATGATGGCCGACAGTTTTAGCTAGTGTTCAGGTAAAACTGTCAGGGTGAGAATGCAAAGTGAATTTAAAACTTAAGGTCAAAAACGCCAAACTGGGAATATTCTCTAAATCCGCAATCATTTCAGTTCAGCTACTTTAGCCTTAAATTTGAAATTCACTTTGGATTCATACTTTAGAGAATGATCCAAGAGGCAAAGAATGCCGGCCTAGGATACAGCATCTGCGACAACACCCAAAGAATCTGACCTTCTCTATGAAATAACTAGAAATGAGTATATAACTAAAGTTATAGTTCAACATCCACATTATATAGAATCAGGTTACAGAGAATGATGCAGCAACAACTTTTTGATTCTAATGGAGGCAACGCAACGGTAAAGTATAACATACTGCAAATGAACAACCTTGTAGGCACAAACTGTGTAAAGTATGATCAGATTGTAGACTGTCCAACTGATGTCCCCTTTACCGTTCTGCTACTAATGTTGCGTAATTGCCACCATGCCAAAATAAAAAGATTGTCATCAAACTGCTGCTTCATCAATCCTGGGAATCTGAAGCTGATTGTGTCCTAATTTCTAAGCGCAATTGGATTGATTGGAAATATAAATGCACAAAAGCTGTCGAACAGCTTTCAACACTATTAACAAATTGATAAGTTTGTTAAGAATTACAGGTCACTCAAACAAAAGAAATATCTGTATTTTTTTTCATACAATGTTATTATTAGCAAAGCACCGGTTTCCCCCAGCACTTGGGTTGGAATCGTCAAAATTCACAGCTCTCTGTACTCTGCAACTTCTATTAGAGCTGGTGTGTGGGGATTTGCTAGCTGTTGCAATTCCCACGTGGCACAAGGAAAGAGGTCTGGCTGCAATACTGAGACACTGTCTGTTTTCAGGGCCTGGGAATTAACACGTAGTGCATCTTCAGAGAGTAGACAGGAAATGGAACATTTCTAAATTCCCTCATAACAGCAACAAATGCTCCGTTATATTAATTTTTGTTCAGGCGACTTATACTAAACCTCTCTACACACTGTGTTATATGCCCAAATTGAATGGAAACACAGTAGCATACCTCCCATATTGGGTTAAGGAGGGACACCTTTATGTTACGTCATGTATTTGACATTTTAGGTCAAGTCTTGCTCTACTGATATAGACATAAGTGAAATTAAATTTAGAACAAGCTTATATTCGATTTAAATTTACACAGACTGATTTCTAAACATTCATTGTAGTTTAAAGACACATTTATTTTATGTTTCATTATACTCTCAACAAAACCATTGGGACTCATAGAAAATGATAAACACGGTAATTTGAGCCAAAGAAGGTTATGTTCTTCTTAAAGTGGAATTCTCACTTCTATCGAAGCAACAACGTATATCACTCACCGCCATGCCGATAGGCACTAAGTCGGAGAAACACTGCCAGGTCCATTTTGTTGGATGTTTGGTTGAATAAAGATCCACGGGGAAGAATTGGAGTCTGGAGTTACAATATAGTTTATTTTTTTCTAAATGTAACATTAACTGAATTGAACAAATTGCAGCAAAGGAAAAAAACAAAACATACTAACCTCAGCTGCACTTCCACTGTGTGGGTTACATTGCCGTCTCATGATGTCTCAGGCATGCCTGGTACGGTATGTAAAGTGTTAAACTAAAAACGTGTGAGATTTTTAAAAAATGTATAGCACAGCCAACTTCTGACTTTTTGTAAAAGTATTAAAACCTCAGTTCCACTTTAAAGAGGCCTGTGGAGGCCTTTGGAGGTGTCCACGGATGTCCCAATTGTCAAGAATGTGAATTCAACAAGAGGCAAGATGATATTACAGGGGGTAATCATTACATCATTTTATATTTGTATGTTTATAAATATGCACACTCATGCAGAATACATTGGCGTTTCAGTGCTACAGTGAATCGAGCGACCGATCAATGAAGAATAGAAATTACGTACCAATATATCGAGCCACAGTGGTACCCCAGCTTCGGCAGGGCCTAAGATAACCTAATAAGTTAAATAAGAGATGAAAGAGACAGCTCCCAGCGTCGGAAACCCCCACCAGCCCTAATCGCCAACAGAGATACTTTTCAATAGATTGAGGAGGACTCCTGATAAGGTGACATTGCTTCGAAAAGCGTCTTCTGTATTATCTCTCGTTAAAACTGGTAAATATATATATATATATAGGCATTTCTTGCTTGTGCTAATACAATAACAGCAGGAGCTGCATCCTATCAGCTGTTGAGGACATTTCCATGCAATCAATAATCAGCCAGACTGCACTTCACGCTATTTACTTTTCGCAATTCATTAGCCTATTGGAATGCAAAAGAGAGAAATATTTCGGAAACCAAAAAAACATTCGGCTAGCTGATTGAAAAGCAAATTGATTTCAACTTCAATCCACTTTAGCAGGGAAATAAGTGGCTTTGCATAGTAATTTCGACTAAGCATCGTTTCAGAGTAATAACAAGCTCCATTCTGATGGACATCCAGGGTGGTTGCTCTTCACATCTAATAATGCTAATAATCGAATGGAAAAAAAATAACAGTGTGTATTTCTGCTATTATTAAGCATGCTAAATCACAGATAACACTGCTTTCTCGGCTTGTAATGCTATTACAACGAGTATTATCTGAGAAATCAAGCTAAACCCTTAGAAAGAACATTGTGCTCTGAAAAAAGGAGACAGGAACATTAGACAGGCATTCACATAAAGTTAGCGCAGTCTTAGACAGATGTCTGTTGTTACTGTCAGCTAGACTTGCAGGATAACTTTGCATTACTTAGCAGTGATAGCAAACCCTATCACAGATGGTCAGAGCTCCAAGACACTAACAATCAAACATAGAACCGCTACAGGGCAATCTAGCACTCAGACTTGCAACCTCTACATGGTTTCTTGCATAAGACCGAAGAATAGGACTTAAGTTATTTTTTGTTATGAAAAGTCTTAACTTCAGTCTGAGAAAATTTAGCAAAATAAAGAGGTAAAGTTCATTCTCAAAATCTAAAGATTTATAGAGCTAATTTTTTTATATATTAGGGACATCACATGCAAAAGCACTGCACAAATCTACCATCAACTATTTTCTACACCCAGTAAGCATGTAAGACCACGAAAAGGCAGAAAAATTTGAATTAGTAAATTAGTAATGTATGATCACACATACCTGGACTCCCATCTTAGGTTGTCCAACACTCAGTGCCCCAATTTACCATACTTGTCTCAGAATCCCTATCCCTTAGTGTGTCCACTGGACCATGCTTGTCTTAGAATGCTATCACTCAGTGTGTCCAATGGACCATGCTTGTCTTAGAATGTTATCCCTCAGTGTAACCATCGGACCATGCTTGTCTTAGGATGCTATCCCTCAGTGTAACTATCGGACCCGGCTTGTCTTAAAATGCTATCTCTCAGTGTAACCATCAGACCATGCTTGTCTTAGAATGTTATCCCTCAGTGTAACCATCGGACCATGCTTGTCTTAGGATGCTATCCCTCAGTGTAACCATCGGACCAGGCTTGTCTTAAAATGCTATCTCTCAGTGTAACCATCAGACCATGCTTGTCTTAGAATATTATCCCTCAGTGTAACCATCAGACCATGCTTGTCTTAGGATGCTATCCCTTAGTGTGTCCACTGGACCATGCTTATCTTAAAATGCTATCCCTCAGTGTAACCATCGGACCATGCTTGTCTTAGAATGCTATCTCTCAGTGTAACCATCGGACCATGCTTGTCTTAGAATGTTATCCCTCAGTGTAACCATCGGACCCTGCTTGTCTTAGAATGCTATCCCTCGGTGTAACCATCGGACCCGGCTTGTCCTAAAATGCTATCCCTCAGTGTAACCATCGGACCCGGCTTGTCTTAAAATGCTATCCCTCAGTGTAACCATCAGTGTATCCCTCAGTGTAACCATCGGACCATGCTTGTCTTAGAATGTTATCCCTCAGTGTAACCATCGGACCATGCTTGGCTTATAATGCTATTCCTCAGTGTAACCATCGGATCATGCTTGTCTTAGAATGCTATCACTCAGTGTGTCCACTGGACCATGCTTATCTTAGAATGCTATCCCTCAGTGTAACCATCGGACCATGCTTTTCTTAGGATTTTATCACTTAGTGTGTCCACTGGACCATGCTGGTCTTAAAATGCTATCCCTCAGTGTAACCATCGGACTATGCTTGTCTTAGAATGCTATTCCTCAGTGTAACCATCGGACCATGCTTGTCTTAGGATGCTATCACTCAGTGTGTCCACTGGACCATGCTTATCTTACAATGCTATCCCTCAGTGTAACCATCGGACCATGCTTTTCTTAGGATGCTATCACTTAGTGTGTCCACTGGACCATGCTTGTCTTAAAATGCTATCCCTCAGGTTAACCGTCGGACTATGCTTGTATTAGAATGCTATCCCTCAGTGTAACCATCTGTCCATCCTTATCTCAGAATCTTTATCCCTCGGTCTTCCCCTTTTGACCATGCTTGTCACAGTATCTTCATCCCTCAATGTGCCCATCTGACCCTGGCCGTTGCAGATTCCCTATCTTTTTGTGTGCCCATTTCACCATGCCGGTCTCAGAATCTTTATCCCTCAGTGTGCCCATCTGAACATGCTTGTCTTATAATACCAATCCCTCGGTGTGTCTATCGGACCATGCTTGCCTCAGAAATCACATCTGACCATGGCTGCCTCAGGATCCCTATTCCTTAGAGGGCCCATCTGACCAAGGTTGTCTCAGAATTCCTATTCCTCAGTGTGCCCATCTGAACATGCCTGTCTCAGGATATTTATCCCACTGTGTGTCCATCTGACCATGCCTATCTCAGAAACTTTTCCCTCGGTGTGTCCATCTGACCATGGCTATCTCAGGATGACCATCTGATTAAGGATGTCCTTCCCTCGGTATTCCCATCTGACCAAGCTTGTCTCATGCCCTGAAGTTACTCATCCACCAGTCCTTTCTTAGCACGACCCTGAGCTCCATGTGTGTCTTAGTATTTCTACCATCCTGTTAACACTTGGGTCAGTACAGCTATCTATGTTGGGCAGGTCTCAAAACGTGTCCTGCTTCTCACGTGGCTCTCACTGGGCCAGCACCTCAGGTCTAATGGTTTAGATGAAATGTGAATAGTTCACATATAACGGACCCACACCATAACCACAGCAGAATCCTCATGCCGTCACAAATCAGGGTTATCATCACCGTAGCTCTATGCAACAGCTGGAGTCTGTGCAAAGCAGATCTAGTGGATCTAATTGCATGTCAGATGGTTTTGATTTTACAAGGAAGCGCTATGGATTTTCTTTCTGTAATAAAGAGTATGTACAGACACCCCAAGCAGTACGTCAGTGTCATGTTTTTTAGCTTTTTCAGAAAGCATGTTATAAATTACCATACAAGCCTTGACGACAGATGACATTACTCTGGGGAATGGGATGGCCTGGTCTGCTCAGTCACTCTTTGTTCTTTAACTTCTTTGAGCCCTGTTGGACAGCACACACATCTAACAACTGTGTTAGTTACTCGGACATCGTGTGCTTTTAGCAAAGGTAGTTGAATTTTTCTAGTTTTTACAAGTCAATCTGACCCAGAGGACATTGACTCAGAATTGTTACAATAGCAATATTTTAAGATTATTTGAAATGTATTTAATATACCCATAAATTAGTAAAATATAAGAAAGTGTGGTTCACGTTTGATTTGCACCCATGTTCACAATTCATTGCCATACCTGGGTATATCTAAGTCCTATTTCCTTAGATATATCTACCATAGGGACAGAAAGAAGACAGTCATGGACAAAAGAGGAGGACATACCTCTAAAAAAAGGCAGAGTATCCCATAAATATATAACTGGGCAACAAGGAGTGTTCCTGTCCATAATAGGATGGGATTAGAGCTGGAGTCACTGATGAATGGGCTAAACTACAAGCCCCATTGCAAACCTGTAAACGCCAGGTGCAAATTGTGGCAGTCACAGGATATGGGCATTCAATTGTATAAAGGATAAATGTAAATTGTTAAACTCACTTTACTGTCTAGCACAAAGGACCCTCTCTGGTTCTCCCCCCTCTCCATGCTGTTGTCAGACTCCAAATTTGCACAGAATTGATTTTAGCCACCCCAGAAGAGTTCCCAGTGGGCTAAGGACATCCAACGCGTTAATCTCTGTATGTGCAGTGTTTCATAGTAAAACTCTGCACATATAGCTTCCAGGCACCATGACCACTTCAAATCACTGAAGTGGACATGGTGCTTAAACTAACCCTTTAAATTCCTAAGTACGTTTGGCTAGATATATAAACATTAAAAACGCAGGTGTACCTCCAAAATGTTGCTCTTACTGTACCTCGGAAAAGTTTCTCTTGGCCTAAAAAAGGCTGAGAATCACTGATTCAAATTCGCTGCGGAATTTGTTGGCGCTATTTAAATAATAACTTAATAATAATAATTTATTGTCTGTTTAACAATCTACTGTGTGTAAAATAAAACAGTATATGCCTCTTATTATGTGTAATGCTGTAGTTTATATGCTCTCTACAACATACTTGTAAACAAAAAAACCCTCAATGTATCCCTCCCGATACAACAGTCTATAAAATAAATAAATAATCATGTATACATGAGCAGTTGTATTGCAAGACAATCAATAACAACATTTACGACATAAAGCAAAAGTTATTTTTCACCTTTGCTCCAGCATTGGTACGCAGAGGAATTGTAACTCGAGACCCAACTCTCCCTCCTCCTAAACTGCACAGACACCCATGTCCGCCAACACATAAACAGTAACGGTTTCATCTACTGAAAAGGAAAATGTGTTTTGGTTTTTTTACTGGTTGACAAGGCTGGTAATAATTTTCAGGATGGTAGCAGTCCTAAATGTTAATAATTAGATGCATTACCAAAAAGAGAATGCCCACTAGAACCAGCAATGTAAGTAATGCAAATATTTAATGAACCAATAATAGGCATAAATTGCATACAGCAAAAAATACAAACACAGAAACACAGGTCCCCAATACCCCCAACATTTCAGCACCAACTGGCTGCCTCTTTCAAGGGTGTTGGTGCCGAAATGTTGGGGGTATTGGGGACCTGTGTTTCTGTGTTTGTATTTTTTGCTGTATGCAATTTATGCCTATTATTGGTTCATTAAATAGTTGCATTACTTACATTGGTGGTTCTAGTGGGCATTCTCTTTTTGGTAATAGTTATTTTTATTTGGTACTTGAGGGAGTACCTGTGAGTAATATCACCTACTGAGATATTTTTGTATTGTTATTTCTCCACACGATATTATTGTATAAATAATAATTATATGAACACAAACATGCTTACATGAACCCATTCATATGCACAGAGCTTGGCATATTAGAATAATGGTCAAAAAGGGTGAACAAAAAACACGCCCAAACATGTATATTTCAGTTCTGAATAAACATGTTTTCACAAGCCTGGAAATAGTCAATAAAATAGCATTTAACCTGTATTTCATTGACTTTCACTTACATGCTCCTATTGTGAGTCGGTACACGCTGAAAAGAACAGAATATTATAACAGCTTAAAACAGAAAACAATCGAACGGCAAAAAAAGGCATTTAACAAGGCACAAGGTGATCTATGTACATATATCAGCAAGATCTGCTTCTATAAAGGGCTAGTGAAAATTACCTGCACGGTTTTAGCTTATGTACATATTCCTAGGACATTAGAAGGGTAATACTAATACTTCACTGACAATAGCTGTGAGAGGCTGAAAACGACATCTGGAGATCTGTGCGGCAAAGGGGACCGGACTGCCATTTCAATTAATTTTACTTCCAAATAAAATAAAATAATAGACTCAGATTTAACATCTGAGACGTCACATTTTTTTTAAATCTTGGGTGCAGGGATACTGACATATTTCCTTTCATTAAAATGTCAGATTATGAAGTGCGTGCACTGCTGGCGGTTGGGGAAACATTGCAAAAGCTGTTACGTCATCAAAAAATGCAACAAACAGTAAATCTGTCTAATGATCGATAAAGAATACTTGTCACATTCACAGAATATTGGCTGAGGATGTAGATTAGTTACCAAAAACGGACATTTGCTGAAATGGAAAATGTTATTCCAGATATCTACTACCCTTTCTATATCACTGTTAGCCTTTACTGCTCCCACTGGAAGGCTATTCCAGGTATCTGCTACCCTTTCTATATCACTGTTAGCCTTTACTGCTCCCACTGGAAGGCTATTCCAGGTATCTACTACCCTTTCCATATCACTGTTACTGCTCCCACTGGAATGCTATTCCAGATATCTACTACCCTTTCTATATCACTGTTACTGCTCCCACTGGAAGGCTATTCCAGGTATCTACTACCCTTTCTATATCACTGTTACTGCTTGTAGCGGAGATGCAATATTCCCCAGGTTATCTCCGCTTATAATCCAAGTGAGGCTCAGGAACAAGTAAATAATAAATCCATAGGCAAAGTTTCCAGCAGGTAAAATAACAGCAATCTCCCCACAGCAATCCCAATAACTGGACGACACACAGTTTCAGGAGCAGAACTGACAAGCTTTCGCTTATAAAGCATGCTCCCATGCAAGGGAGGGATTTACAGTAATTATTACAGTAGCCAATCCTGTCCTGGTAACCTCCCACACATCCCCTCCCCTCAGCCAGCATCATAATCCCCTTATCCAGCACACCAATTCCCCCCGTTTCTGGATGTACCCCTAAACGTAGGCGTACCCCTTTAAATCATACATCCCCGGGTAGTCCTGATCTGGGTGAACAACATATCCAAAAATCACCCAGATCGGACCAGGGGTTCGGGAAAAGTATGGAGGGAATAAAATGACCGACCGCACGAACAGAGATAGCCGAATCCGGTTCCATGTGAATGGGCCCGCGGTCGGTCCTGGCATAAGGGAATGAAATACACGAAAACCTCTAGCTATAGAGGCTAGGGAGGGTTCGCCTGAATCCCCTCGTTCGGTATTTTCTATCTACCGAACGAGGGGCCGTTCGGTAGTTTGGAACCGAACGGACCAGGGCTGTGGAGGTCTCAGCGGTGTTCGCCTACTCGAGTGTCCGATTTTAGTTCCAGACACTCAACGGCAAAACACTGCTGTTCGGGAGTTTTAAAATGGCCACCGCCACGTGTTAGTTTGTCGAATGGCGGCCACCCCCGAGAACAAAGGACGGCTACTTCCTAGTCAATTACCCGTTCGCAACAATGTTGCAACGGGTAATTGAGGACACACTTTACACAAGGGAGGTCTGGTTGTTCGGTAGTTTCATTCGAATAAACTAAGGGAATGGAACTACCGAACAATCAAAAGAATACAAGGCTTTAAAACACATAGAAAACTAGCAGATCACACGAATGCAATTATTTCAAGGACATTTGCAGGACAGCCCAGTGCCATCCACTACACTGCTCCCACTGGAAGGCTGTTCCAGGTATCTACTACCCTTTCTATTTCACTGTTAGCCTTTACTGCTTCCTCTGGAAGGCTATTCCAGGTATCTACTACCCTTTATATATCACTGTTAGCCTTTACTGCTTCCTCTGGAAGGCTATTCCAGGTATCTACTACCCTTTATATATCACTGTTACTGTTCCCACTTGAAGGCTATTCCAGGTATCTACTACCCTTTCTATATAACTGTTAGCCTTTACTACTTCCTCTTGATTGCTATACCAGGTATCCACTACCCTGTCAAGTAGTATGAATTTTCTAACATTCCTTCCTCAGTCTTACACCATTCATTTGGAAATCATGCCACAAGTTTTTAGCGTTATTAAAAGCTTTATTGTAATAAAGCTTCCCTCACAGAGAGCAGTTCCTTACCAGATGGCTGGGGCGAAGAATCAACTTCCATGTTTGATGAAAATCTCTCGCTCTGAGCACCCAGGACGCCTACTGGCAGGGACTGATCACCAGGCGCCAGGTCGCCTTCCAGTTCCTCGTTAACGGGGAAGGTGATGTCAGTGACAGGCTCTTCTTTAACCTTCACTGGCTTTGTGTCCTCCGAGACTCGCTCCGGATGCACAATCTTCTCATACTCCTCAGACAGCTGCTTGCTGACCTTCAAATAAACACACAGAATGCGGGTCATTACATATTACACAGCAGCCCTTGGCACACTTATTATTTTATAAGGAATGGAATAAATCATATATTTGTGTGTAAAGTGTGAGTTTGTTATCACAACCAACATATCTTATAGCAAAAGGCTTGAACAAGATCTGCCTTAAAAAGAAATCACGACACTTTAATCTAGAATGGTAAAACGTGTATAGAATAACTCATTAATCATATACCATTCCACAGGTTCCTTGTGAGAAACAACAGCAGTTTCTGGATTGTCTGATTATTAAAGGGTGATGACAGACTGATTATTTGTTAAAATCACACTTGTTAGGATTACGAATTGGTGCATAAAGTAGGACTGCAGGAATAAATGTGTTGGACAAAAGGATTCTCTACTTTATCCCCACTACAAGCTTGTGGTAACTGGGCTAATCTGACCCCCAGTTCTCGTAGTATATAGTTGTCATTTAAATTTGGAAAGTGAAATTAGCTGCTCAGCTTAGCAGGTACATGGCGTGCCAGCGAAAGCCCCTTTTTATTTTGTCAAATTGCTGCTAATCTGTGTGACAAAAAAAAAAAACATGGAACAGCACACAGAGTCTCTGCACTATAACCACTAAACTGAGCTGTAGTGGTTATTGTGCATAAATATCCCCTTTAATTAATGACTGATTTATAAAGTTATACTTTTCTACCTAATTAAAGTACACCTATCATACACAACTGACACACTAACGATTTATAGATTTCATCCACAAATATCGTTTGGCCCTAAAACTGCAGTCACCCAACCTCGAATATTTAAAGCAACATCCCTCTATCCTTTGGGGCACATTGATGCACTGTATGCTGCAGATATCTTCATGGACAGAAATGCAAACGTCTGGTATGTATATATTTTAATTTACACATTTGCCATTTAGCCAGCACAATGCATCATTTAACTGTATACCTATCTTAAAGTTAGCTTGCCACAGGATAGATTTGATTTAAATTAAATCTATTTAAAATCATGAATTAAAGCATTAGTCACAATGACTATTTAGATCACGGTTTCTATGTAAAGACTCATTCTTGCTTGTTGTCACAATCTTAATATTTAAAACCAGATAAAGGTTTGATTTTCAGAATAACTTTTTAACCAGGCCTTACATTCTACACACACACACACACACACACATCTGCCTTACCCACAGGAAGCAGAACTGCATTAAATATTCCCAAACTGGGTCTCCTTTTAGGCCTGCTGCCATTATAGGTTTTCTCTTCCAGGTTGTGAATAATAAAAATCAAGTTATTGATACACAGAGTTCCCAGTGCTTATATTCTACTCAGATGGTTCCACGTTAATGTTTACTGCTTGCCCTTCCTCCTCAAACTTAGCTCCTTCTGCAGATCTATTCCACTACAAACAATCTTCTATTATTATTATTATTTATAAAGCGCCAACAAGTTCCATAGCGCTGTACAATGGGTGGACTAACAGACACGTATTTGTAACTAGACAAGTTAGACACACAGGAACAGAGGGGTTGAGGGCCCTGCTCAATGAGTTTACATGCTAGAGGGAGTGGGGTATAGTGACACAGTAACAGAGGGATTGAGGGCCTGCTCAGTGAGTTTACATGTTAGAGGGAGTGGGGTATAGTGACACAGTAACAGAGGGATTGAGGGCCTGCTCAATGAGTTTACATGTTAGAGGGAGTGGGGTATAGTGACACAGTAACAGAGGGATTGAGGGTCCTGCTCAGTGAGTTTACATGTTAGAGGGAGTGGGGTATAGTGACACAGTAACAGAGGGATTGAGGGCCCTGCTCAGTGAGTTTACATGTTAGAGGGAGTGGGGTATAGTGACACAGTAACAGAGGGATTGAGGCCCTGCCCAGTGAGTTTACATGTTAGAGGGAGTGGGGTATAGTGACACAGTAACAGAGGGATTGAGGGCCCTGCTCAGTGAGTTTACATGTTAGAGGGAGTGGGGTATAGTGACACAGTAACAGAGGGATTGAGGGCCTGCTCAGTGAGTTTACATGTTAGAGGGAGTGGGGTATAGTGACGCAGTAACAGAGGGATTGAGAGCCCTGCTCAGTGAGTTTACATGTTAGAGGGAGTGGGGTATAGTGACACAGTAACAGAGGGATTGGGGCCCTGCTCAGTGAGTTTACATGTTAGAGGGAGTGGGGTATAGTGACACAGTAACAGAGGGATCGAGGGCCCTGCTCAGTGAGTTTACATGTTAGAGGGAGTGGGGTATAGTGACACAGTAACAGAGGGATTGAGGCCCCTGCTCAGTGAGTTTACATGTTACAGGGAGTGGGGTATAGTGACAGTAACAGAGGGATTGAGGCCCTGCTCAGTGAGTTTACATGTTAGAGGGAGTGGGGTATAGTGACACAGTAACAGAGGGATTGAGGGCCTGCTCAGTGAGTTTACATGTTAGAGGGAGTGGGGTATAGTGACACAGTAACAGAGGGATTGAGGGCCCTGCTCAGTGAGTTTACATGTTAGAGGGAGTGGGGTATAGTGACACAGTAACAGAGGGATTGAGGCCCTGCTCAGTGAGTTTACATGTTAGAGGAGTGGGGTATAATGACACAGTAACAGAGGGATTGAGGGCCCTGCTCAGTGAGTTTACATGTTAGAGGGAGTGGGGTATAGTGACACAGTAACAGAGGGATTGAGGGCCTGCTCAGTGAGTTTACATGTTAGAGGGAGTGGGGTATAGTGACACAGTAACAGAGGGATTGAGGGCCTGCTCAGTGAGTTTACATGTTAGAGGGAGTGGGGTATAGTGACACAGTAACAGAGGGATTGAGGGCCTGCTCAGTGAGTTTACATGTTAGAGGGAGTGGGGTATAGTGACACAGTAACAGAGAGATTGAGGGCCTGCTCAGTGAGTTTACATGTTAGAGGGAGTGGGGTATAGTGACACAGTAACAGAGGGATTGAGGGCCTGCTCAGTGAGTTTACATGTTAGAGGGAGTGGGGTATAGTGACACAGTAACAGAGGGATTGAGGGCCTGCTCAGTGAGTTTACATGTTAGAGGGAGTGGGGATAGTGACACAGTAACAGAGGGATTGAGGGCCTGCTCAGTGAGTTTACATGCTAGAGGGAATGGGGTATAGTGACACAGTAACAGAGGGATTGAGGGCCCTGCTCAGTGAGTTTACATGTTAGAGGGAGTGGGGTATAGTGACAGTAACAGAGGGATTGAGAGCCTGCTCAGTGAGTTTACATGTTAGAGGGAGTGGGGTATAGTGACACAGTAACAGAGGGATTGAGGGCCTGCTCAGTGAGTTTACATGTTAGAGGGAGTGGGGTATAGTGACACAGTAACAGAGGGATTGAGGGCCTGCTCAGTGAGTTTACATGTTAGAGGGAATGGGGTATAGTGACACAGTAACAGAGGGATTGAGGGCCCTGCTCAGTGAGTTTACATGTTAGAGGGAGTGTGGTATAGTGACACAGTAACAGAGGGATTGAGGGCCCTGCTCAGTGAGTTTACATGTTAGAGGGAGTGGGGTGTAGTGACACAGTAACAGAGGGATTGAGGGCCCTGCTCAGTGAGTTTACATGTTAGAGGGAGTGGGGTATAGTGACACAGTAACAGAGGGATTGAGGGCCCTGCTCAGTGAGTTTACATGTTAGAGGGAGTGGGGTATAGTGACACAGTAACAAAGGGATTGAGAGCCCTGCTCAATGAACTTACATGCTACAGTGAGTGGGGTATAGTGACACAAAAGGTAAGATTAGAAAAGTAGGTTGCTGAACTTCTTGAAACTAAGCACTTAAGAGGTAACGTGTGAATTCTGTATACATAGATTTGCACAATAACAATGAGATTGAGATATTTTTTCTCTAAAAGAACACTCATGATCACATTCTTTTTTTATCCTGAGGAACATCAGGTAAGGTTCTGGTACCCATATGAATAGGAAAAGCACATCACACTATAACTGTTTGAATGTCATTGTATAAGTTTCTATAATTTATAGTTTAGTTCACCTGCAACATGTACGCATGGTAATCCTTAATGCGGTGCTGCCAGAACTTCTGCAGAGACAAAACACTGCCGATGCCCATGTCATGGAAGACCTGCTCCATGACATCCGGGAACGGAGTCTGTCCGAGCCTTGCTTCTCGATCCACATTAAACCTGAGCATCTTGGTAAATTTTAGGCAGTATTCATGAGCGATATCAGTAAGGGTCTCCAGGACACTCTCGTTGGCACATTCAAATCCAGCATGTGCAAGAATGGTAGCCACGGACTGGTACATCAGCTGGCGACATGAATGATAACTGAGTTCAGTGACTGGCTCTCCTTTCCCTCTAAAGCAAAAAAAATGACATGTGCAAATTTACAAATAATTCTTTTTTTTTTTTAAATAACATTTCTTCTTCAGAATTTCATATGAAGACATCTGTTTGTTTGTTTTTAAACACTTGTCGCCCGAATACCCAGTGTCATAGTAAAATGAGATTACAAGCAAACTGTGGATGAAAACTCTCATCGTAGCTGATGGAAGAATATATTAAATGAAAAGGGAGTCCGAAGTAGGCAAAGTTCCAGTGGTTTCCTAGTACTGCCTAATTTTTGCTTTAACCCCTTAAGGACACATGACATGTGTGACATGTCATGATTCCCTTTTATTCCAGAAGTTTGGTCCTTAAGGGGTTAAACTACACATTGCTGAACAGTTTCCTAACTTTAAAATGCACTTTTCAAACAACAATTACTCTGAACTTAACAAACACAATACAATTTTAAACGTATGGGCAGCCAAAATATCAAAAGTATGTAAAAAGCCAAATTATTTGTTTTAGATTTCAGCATGCATAAGTGCTCTCCCTCAATAAATATCTAGGTTGCAGGCAATCATTAGAAGACATAGGATTCCACAAGAGACCCAGAAGTATAAACAGAACAAACTGTAACATAAACAATATATGTAGTGTATGCTTAACCTCTATTTTGTACGGTGGCCTGAGCAATATCTGGTCTCAGATCATACTTCTAGAATTAATCCATTTAATGTTTAAAAATGTGCATGTAGTGTGCAATGACTGTGGAATATTTTATTACGATACAGTAAGTCGGATTTTGCACCTCACCTATAAAAATCACTCTCTGGGTCGCTGTGTCTTATCTGGAAGGGTAGCTTGGGGATCTTGCAATCCTGCGGCAGGAGATCATCAGGGAGGACCGGTGAGCTAGGCCGATGTGGAAGCGGTTCACTCTCCTCCACTTTCATGCCTTCAGCCTGCGGCTGGTTTGGAACCTGAGCCGTAGCAATCAGGCTGCGCAGTCTGCGGTTATGCTGAATAAGTTGGATTGTGTGAATGGTTAAGCTGCATGGTTCAGATGGAATATCCAGCATGGTAGTGGTTCTTGGCTTGTTAGCAGAAGGCTGGTGTAGAGGGGGTTCTTGCATCTCCACTGTGCGGAACTCCCTCTGTAAGAGGTCGAAGGAACTCCTGCTGGCCTGTCCAGAAGAATCTGGGATCTCTCCCCAGTAGCGCATCATGTTAAGATAGTGTCAGCAGTGGGCTAACTCACGTAGAATCAAATAATGTTCACAAGGAGAAGGTGCCCAGGTTAGTCTTGGACACAATGTACCATACCAAATATTGCCCAACGTCCAGCCATCAAATATTCAACTTCTGTCTGGTACTTTCAAAACAGCCTCTTAACCTAAATTGCAAACAAACAACAACGTATTTTACTAACATTCACACATGTTTGGTCAGTAGGAAAACATTAGCATTCACAGAGGATTAAGGAGCCAGGATGATAAATAGATTAAAAAGGTTTCAACTAACCATTTAATTGTAAGTTCTATTCATGGATTTCAGCAGCTCCTGTGCCTTGCTATTAAATCTTGCTAATATTGATTTCCTCTCTCTATCACTCTCAGCCAGCAGTGTCTCTCTATCTCTCAGCCAGCAGTCTCTCTCTATCACTCTCAGCCAGCAGTCTCTCTATCACTCTCAGCCAGCAGTCTCTCTCTATCACTCTCAGCCAGCAGTCTCTCTCTATCACTCTCAGCCAGCAGTGTCTCTCTATCACTCTCAGCCAGCAGTCTCTCTCTATCACTCTCAGCCAGCAGTCTCTCTATCACTCTCAGCCAGCAGTCTCTCTATCACTCTCAGCCAGCAGTCTCTCTCTATCACTCTCAGCCAGCAGTCTCTCTCTATCACTCTCAGCCAGCAGTGTCTCTCTATCACTCTCAGCCAGCAGTCTCTCTCTATCACTCTCAGCCAGCAGTGTCTCTCTATCACTCTCAGCCAGCAGTCTCTCTCTATCACTCTCAGCCAGCAGTCTCTCTATCACTCTCAGCCAGCAGTCTCTCTCTCTCAGCCAGCAGTCTCTCTCTATCACTCTCAGCCAGCAGTCTCTCTCTATCACTCTCAGCCAGCAGTCTCTCTCTATCACTCTCAGCCAGCAGTCTCTCTCTATCACTCTCAGCCAGCAGTCTCTCTCTATCACTCTCAGCCAGCAGTCTCTCTCTAGCACTCTCGGTGCTGGCTGGCTGAGGGTGCTGTGACGCGGTGCTGGCTGGCTGAGGGTGCTGTGACGCGGTGCTGGCTGGCTGAGGGTGCTGTGATTCGGTGCTGGCTGGCTGAGGGTGCTGTGACGCGGTGCTGGCTGAGGGTGCTGAGACGCGGTGCTGGCTGGCTGAGGGTTACTCACTCACCGAGCTCCGGGGGTCAGACCGAGCTGTGACGTCATCCGTGTGCGCGGCCGCCCCAGACCGGAAGCGGCGTGCTGGGTCTGTCCCCGCACTTCCGGCTCTGTGTGTGCGGCTCGCGGGAGCCATCGGCAGCCTCTCTCCCAGCGCGAGCCCCGAGCTGCCCTGAGCTGCCCCCACTCCCCGGAGAAGGTGGCGCTGGACACATGGAAGCCGCTCGGCTGGAGCCCAATGGCGGGCAGGGGCCCCATGATCCCGGGGACACTGCCATGGAGACCGGGGATCGGGGGGACAGGGCCCCTGACAGCGGGGAACCCGAGGGGCCCCCTCATACAGGGCCCGGGGGCGGTGAGGGGGCCCCTACTGCAGGGACCTGGAGCAATGAGGGCCCCAGGGATGCAGGGGTCAGGTCCATCGAGGGCCCCAGGGATGCAGGGGTCAGGTCCAATGAGGGCCCCAGGGATGCAGGGGTCAGGTCCAATGAGGGCCCCAGGGATGCAGGGGTCAGGTCCAATGAGGGCCCCAGGGATGCAGGGGTCAGGTATACTGAGGGCCCCAGGGATGCAGGGGTCAAGTCTACTGAGGGACCCAGGGATGCAGGGGTCAGGTCTACTGAGGGCCCCAGGGATGCAGGGGTCAAGTCTACTGAGGGACCCAGGGATGCAGGGGTCAGGTCTACTGAGGGCCCCAGGGATGCAGGGGTCAGGTCTACTGAGGGACCCAGGGATGCAGGGGTCAGGTCTACTGAGGGCCCCAGGGATGCAGCGGTCAGGTCTACTGAGGGCCCCAGGGATGCAGGGGTCAGGGATGCTGGGTCCAGGGATACAGAGACCAGGTCCATTGAGGGGCCCAGGGATGCAAGGGCCACTAAGGGGTCAAATAGCACAGACACCAGCAACAGGGAGGGGCCCGGGACTCTTGGGACCAGGAGCTATGAGGGGCCCAGGGATTCGAGGACCAGCACCTGTGAGGAACTTAAACCTCCAGGGTGTAGGAGCCATGAAACCTCCCATTCTACCAGGGCAGATGCCGAAAACCAATGGGCTGCCAGGTCCACTAACTCCGAGGGGCCCCATTCTTCCAAGTCCAATGGGAATGAGGCCTCCATTACTAGTGGGACCAGCAGCAGTAAGGAGCCCTATTTTGGGAGGACCAGTATCAGCCAGAAACTCGCTGGCACAGAATCCTATTCAGGGCCCAATGATGGGGATGGGTCCAATGACACCAAGGACAACACTGAGGGGCACACTGATGTCAGGATCACAGACTCCTTTAAGATGCCCACCATTCCTGCCCGCTCAAGTGGGAATGAAAAGACAGTGGAACAACGAGACAAACCAGCAACCTCACACATTTCTCCCTCACTTGGCATTAGAGGCACCGCTAGGGAAACGTCCACGGATGTCAGCCACAGGCTTCCCTCTGATGCCTACCGAACCTCGCCTGCCATTCCCTATCGGGAGCCTTCCTGGTCCGGGCAGCCCCAGGCCCTTTACAACCTGGAGATGTTAAAAAATGGTAATATTGTATCCACTAAAAGTCTGAATGAACTGGACTGGATAGTTTTTGGCAGGCTACCTTCATGCCACATTTCTTTGGAGCATCCCTCTGTTTCTCGTTTCCATGCTGTGCTGCAGTACCGTCAGATTCCAGGTACTGAACCAGATCAAGAACCTGGCTTCTATATTTATGATTTGGACAGCACCCATGGGACATATTTAAACAAGCAGAGAATACCGCCTAAGACATATTGCCGTTTTCGAGTGGGTCATATGGTTAAATTTGGTGGTAGTACACGACTGTTCGTCTTACAGGTAAAAAAAAATACATTTTATTACAAAGGTATACATTAATGAGATGTTATCATTAGTAAAATCACTGTAATTACTTTTTTCACTAAATTGGAATCATGGAGAATTGACAACAGAATGCAAATTTAAGATAAAATTGCCTAACTAGAAAACTAGCTGAATCTTTTTTGTAGTGTTTTTCCCACTAGTTTTGCTGTGTCTTCTCAAAAAAAAAAAAAAAATAGCGTCATTCTTGATAATTCAGTGTACCTGATACGTCCGCGGCACATTTGATTGCTTCCAGCCACTGTAAGGGTATTGCAGCGATGTCGAGGTATCCTGCAATTACCCCCCTCATAGTCGGGCCGCCGATACTCTGCCTGTCTGCTGAGGGGTCGAGGCACTCAGTAAAATAAATTAAATACATTCTAAAAAAATAAATAACTTAAACCCACCCCAGGACCACGGACGCACCTAGTACGTCCAAGGTAATCTTATGTACTTACGTGATCGCTGCCATTGCACATACAAAATAAATATATCAGATAATGAAGATTACTTTATAAGCTGGTAGACATTATACAAATGATATCATTTAAAAATTTCTCCATACAAGTTCCTAAGGGATGTTGTATTTAGGGATCGACCGATTATCGGTCTGGCCGATATTCGGTATTTTCGGCAATATCGGTGTCGGCCAATTCAGATACCGATATTGCCGATAATACATAACAGGACCGCCGGGCCCATTATAAGCCCAGCGGTCCTGTTGGGGGCCAGCAGCAAGCGTTTACTTACCTCCCAGCAGCTCCTCCAGCTCCCCTGTGTAAGTATTGCGAGACCCGCGGCCGTCAGAGCGTTGCCACGGGTTACCATGGCAACGCTCCGCGCGGCACGCTGGCTGCGAGATTTACACAGAGGAGCTGCTGGGAGGTAAGTAAACGCTTGCTGCCGGCCCCCACTGCTCAGTACACGCCACTGGACCACCAGGGATTAACATATCCCCCCTCCCTGGCCAGGCAACAAGCAGGGAGGGGGGACTAAAAAATAAATAATAATAATTAAATATTTAAAAAAATGTTTTAATAAAAAATGCCCCCTCAATTACATGCACTACGCAAACACACTGCATTATATAAACACACTACACAAACACGCTGTATATAATGCAGTTTGTGTAGTGTGTATATAATGCAGTGTTTGTGCAGTGTGTTTATATAATGCACACTACACAAACACTGCATTATATAAACACACTGCATTATATAAACACACTACACATACTGTGTATATAATGCAGTTTGTGTAGTGTGTACATAATGCACACTGCAGTATATACACACACTATACAAATAAACACACTGCATTTACTATACACACAAATACACACTCTTTGCATTTAGTATATAAAGCATTCACTTTACGCACACTGCATTCACTATACACACACGACACAAACACTCTGCATTCATTATATACACACTACACAAATACACACTGCATCCACTACACAAACACACACTGCATCCACTACACATGGCATGTATATTTTGTGCCTTTACCTTTAGAAATAGTTTTGGTTTTTTTCAAAATGGTAAATGTACAGAATATTGGTACGTTACCGGCTATCGGCCTAAAAGTTCACAGAATATCAGTATCGGCTCTCAAAAATCAATATTGGTCGATCCCTAGTTGTATTTCTGAAAAGGTTCGGTATCCTGAGACTTTAGGTTGTGTGTCTGACTGTCCCTGATGAAAAGGATACTATAGTACTAGGATTACAAAGTTGTATTCCTAGCACTATAGCTCCATCACACCCTGCAAGAGTTACTAAAACCCTTGTTGTACATACCCAATTCCAGGCTTCACACACACTCATAGAGCCAGTTGTAAAATAACACACATTTGATTTAAAGCTAAATGTGCCGTCCTTTAAACATCATGCATTTTAATAATGCATCCTAACTTTCCAAGGGTTGAGATTGAGGGTTGGTACTGTAATACACATACTATGGGTGGTTGATGGATCCACGTTGTGTGAGCTGACCCATGATTTTCAGATCCTGCAAGCTGGCTATATTTGCAAAGGTGTGATTTAGATTATGCATTGGCCAAGACTCCAGATGTTGTGGACTGCATCTCCCATAATGCTCTCACAGCTGTTAGCAAAGCATGACGTAAGATGTAGTCCACATCATCTGGAGTGTCGAAGGCTGCCGACCCTTGATTTACATTGTTACTAATATAAGTCAATGGGACCTGATGGAATACACCCAAAGCTATTAAAAGAGCTTAGTGGTGTACTAGCAAAACCATTAACCGATTTATTTAACCAATCATTGTTAACAGGAGTAGTCCCAGAAGATTGGAAGTTAGCGAATGTTGTTCCCATTTACAAGAAAGGTAATAGGGAGGAGTCGGGCAACTATAGGCCAGTAAGCCTTACTTCAGTAGTGGGGAAAGTGATGGAAACCATGTTAAAGGATAGGATTGATGAACATCTAAAAACACATGGATTTCAAGATCAGAGACAACATGGGTTTACTTCAGGGAGATCATGCCAAACTAATCTTATTGATTTTTTTGATTGGGTAACTAAAATTATAGATCAGGGTGGTGCAGTAGACATTGCTTATCTAGATTTCTGTAAGGCTTTTGACACTTGCACATAGAAGGCTTATCAATAAACTGCAATCTTTAAGTTTGGATTCCAATATTGTTGAATGGGTAAGGCAGTGGCTGAGTGACAGGCAACAGAGGGTTGTAGTCAATGGAGTATATTCGAAGCATGGTCTTGTCACCAGTGGGGTACCTCAGGGATCTGTACTTGGACCCATACTCTTTAATATTTTTGTTTGTGATATTGCAGAAGGTCTTGATGGTAAGGTATGTCTTTTTGCTGATGATACTAAGATATGTAACAAGGTTGATGTTCCAGGAGGGATAAGCAAAATGGCAAATGATTTAGGTAAACTAGAAAAATGGTCAGAATTGTGGCAACTGACATTAAATGTGGATAAGTGCAAGATAATGCATATTGGACGTAAAAACCCAAGGGCAGAGTACAGAATATTTGATAGAGTCCTAACCTCAACATACAAGGAAAGGGGTTTAGGGGTGATTATTTCTGATGACTTAAAGGTAGGCAGACAATGTCATAGAGCAGCAGGAGATGCTAGCAGAATGCTTGGTTGTATAGGGAGAGGTATTAGCAGTAGAAAGAGGGAAGTGCTCATGCCATTGTACAAAACACTGGTGAGACCCCACTTGGAGTATTGTACACAGTACTGGAGACCGTATCTTCAGAAGGATATTGATACTTTAGAGAGAGTTCAGAGAAGGGCTAGTAAACTGGTTCATGGATTGCGGGATAAAACTTACCAGGAAAGGTTAAAGGATCTTAACATGTATAGCTTGGAGGAAAGACGAGACAGGGGGGATATGATAGAAACATTTAAATATATAAAGGGAATCAACACAGTAAAGGAGGAGACTATATTTAAAAGAAGAAAAACTACCACAACAAGAGGACATAGTCTTAAATTAGAGGGACAAAGGTTTAAAAATAATATCAGGAAGTATTACTTTACTGAGAGGGTAGTGGATGCATGGAATAGCCTTCCAGCTGAAGTGGTAGAGGTTAACACAGTAAAGGAGTTTAAGCATGCGTGGGATAGGCATAAGGCTATCCTAACTATAAGATAAGGCCAGGGACTAATGAAAGTATTAGAAAATTGGGCAGACTAGATGGGCCGAATGGTTCTTATCTGCCGTCACATTCTATTTTTAAAAACAACATTGTCAACCAACACCGTCATGAATGGCACGTACAGGTAAATTTAACAGTCAGTGTAACATGTACGTAGCCTGAATTCTGTTCTGTTGCCCCGTTCTCAGTCTAGTCTCATTTATTCAGGGACCAGAAGATGACCAGGAAGAAGAATCTGAACTTACAGTTACTCAGATAAAGGAAGCTCGTAGACAAAAGGAGAGCCTTCAGAGGAAAATGTTAGGAGATGACTCCGATGAGGAAGACGTAACAGAGGAAACCGAGAAGAGCAACGAATCGACAAGTTCTGGGCAAGATGCTGGTTGCATGTGGGGAATGGGTAAGCAGAAACATTGATTGTGTTTTTTTTTTACTCCTGGGCCACATACATTGAGGTTTTTATTCCACTATAAAAGTCCCTGAATCCATCTGCCTATCCTCTAAAAACAGCTGCACCGATTGTTTACAACTGAATTGTGCTGAATGTCTTCTGTTTCATTTGTAACATCATATTTGGATGTGCTCTCCAGGGCATACTTGGAAACATTTTATAAATAAATTTTAAAAATTGTCCTGGGACATTGTTCACAAGGCCAATAACGTGAGCCTTCTTTTGAGTTGTGTTTAATGGACTAAGTGTGAAATACACCTGGTGAAGAAAAAAATGTTTTTTATATTTGTGTTTTACTGGTCAAACTGATGACAAATGCGTATATTGCATTATAAGATCTGCTGTTCTAGACAAATCATAGCAATGCATTACCATAAATTCAGACCCTTTCAGGGTCTCTGTACCTAATCTTGCCACTTTTTATGTAGATTAAAAATTTCTGCTATTTCTTTCCAATGTGTGTAGTGTTTCCCTTTACTGTATATTGCCTCGTGACTTGGCTTTCTGGGAGTTGTAGGTCAGCTGTGTCTACTAAAGAAAGTTAACTGAATTAGATCTCTATGCTTTGACTCCAGAAAGCAAAGCGTACGGAATAAGTCCAGGAGCTTTCTGGGAATTCAGTGGGTGCCATGATATAAACTATTCTTCCTTGTGTTACAGGGGATGATGCCATTGAAGAAGACAACGATGAAAATCCGATTGCGATGGAATTTCAGGAAGAAAGAGAAGCTCTTTACATGAAGGATCCTAAGAAAGCACTAAAGGGTTTCTTTGAAAGAGAAGGTTTGTGTTTGAAATGTGTTTGTGGGGTGAGGTAAAGGGGGTTATGGACATCCCAAGGAGTTTAATATGCCTTACAGTAATATGTCTAGGAAGTGATATATAATATTTCTCATGTATTTGTGTCTGCCTTAATGTCTTGCTATGGAGAATGCCGATATAATGGGCTTCCTGTCTTTGTATCATCCAGGGGAGGAGTTGGAATATGAATATGAAGATCGAGGACTTTCCATTTGGCTTTGCCGAGTCAGGTATGTATTGCATTGCTGTTTATGGGGGATTATTTAGACAGAGCAATGGCCCTCACTTTCTTTTGAAAACTCTTTCAGTTTTATTTCACATTTGTGGGAGTTGTCACTCAGCTCGCAGCTATTTTTTTTAAGTATAAAGATAACTTGGCAGAATGAATGCTGTACACAGAGAACTTTGAAATCTGTCAGTCAGCCCTTCTCTTCTCACTGGCTACCAAATAAGAGAATATAAAGCAACTCATTGTAGTGGTTACAGGAAAGGGAGGCTACAGGTTGCTCCCTTTTATTTTTGTCACACCATATTTTGAGAAACAAAATGACAGGGAATTTTAAGGGAATGGCATAGACAAAAATATTTGAACTGGTTTAATAATCTTTTTGTTTTAATAATTTTAGTTTTATAAAGCACCCATACAGGTACTCCTGAAAGTGACTTTATATAAATAATACCTTTAAAAATGCAAAATCAACCAATCCAAAATAAGGAACTCCCATCTGAATTGCTATATTTGCAATCATTTCTCAGGTTTTATACGTCTTCAATTAAAGGAACACTGTAGATACTGTGATTATAGTGTGTGTGAAGCCTCCTAGCGCTGTTCCTTCGTTCAGTGTTAAACCATGTTTGACCATAGCTCCGCCTCCACTGGAGGTGTGGCCAAGGCAGAGATTACATACTTCTAGCCATACGCATTCATACCTAAATGGGTGACTGTGATAGGCTGAAAGCGGTCGGCTGACACTATCAGCCAATCACAGACATTCATTGTTGTTCAGGCTACTGCTTCCTCATTAACCCAAATAGCACAGAGGGTAATGTAATGTAACATTGCTCCTAATGTGTTTGAATTGCCCCTTTATCTCCATCTACAGACAGTGGGGGGAAATGAAAGTCAGACGTGGTAATATACTTCCTATCCATGCAGCTTGATTAATGTGTCTTATTGTATAGATTAGTTACAGATGTATCACACATACATATAGTAACCAGCAAGGAGGAGGAGGGGGAGATGGCATTAGTATGCAGGATGCTACAAAATGTGTTTATATGCAAAAACTATAGAAATGTAGGAATGCAAAAAATACAGATAATCATTTTAGACCAACGCTATAAAACTCATTAGACCTGTTGGTGCTAAGAGGTATTTTTATATATAAATTGTGATAGCTGGGATTTATAGGGAATCTCTAAGCACCAAAATAATTCATCTTAGTGAAGTGGTTTTGATGCATAGACCCGGTCCCTGCAGGCTTGCTGGTAACCATTGTTTGTATTTGGCTATAAACACCCCTCTAGTTACTGGCATGCCCCATAGCTCCCCAATGCAAATAGGAGACATAATCTAAAGTAACTGAAAAACCACACTTAGAATAAATACAGAGAGGAAACACAGGGCTGCGGCTGTCCTATAACATCCAGACGTTTTGTTCATAAACCACTACGACTGATCTCCGTCACCCCTTGATTGGAGGCACCCTGGTGACCACAAAGACACTACTCAATCAGCCCCTTCCTACCATCTAGCAACACTGCACTCTTGGCAGCATCCTTGTTGAGTTGGCACGGTAGAGATTGTAGACTAGTTTATTGAATTTAAAGCCTTTGTCCTCCACCCACCTTTCAAACCGGTTGGGGTTATCCCGGTCCAGGGAGTCCCCCTGCATCTAATGGCATATATTCCAATATGCGACCAACGTGACCTGTGACGGACAAGATGGCACCATCTGTGGCCTTCTCATCATATCCAAATGGTACTCTAAGCAAGCTTGACCATATTTTTGAGTTGTTTCTATGCCAGATTCCGCATAGGAGAACACAACCAGTGTAGCATTCTGGTTGCCGGATCAAAAGAGAGAGCGTCTCTAAGCAAGCTAATACTATGCAGGGTTGGCGGCTACAAGTCCTGTAACTCAATAGAGCTTCAGATACAGTTCATCTATAAAAGAAAGTTATGGCTTCGACTTGCCTACCAGCTCTGGTTGTCTCTGGATTGGGACTTGAGTGTAACGATACTTAGCAGTGGTCCACAGTGTATCATTCATCCTTATACCTGCTTTGCAGAATGGCATCTTCTTCTTAAAGTTGATCCATAGCCACGCAGCCATAATGTCTTCTCTTGCCTGGTTCAGCACCTCTGGCGACAGTCCAGCACTGTTGCTTGCCCTAAGGATGGGTACTGGCTGATTGTCCACTGCAGATTGAGTATTGCCCATTGTTTCATGTCTGCGTGTACTCCCGTGTTCCTCTGCTTTGTTTTATGATGTCTTTTATTTGCTATTTCCGGTTGTAGCTATTCTGCATATGTATGATTTGTTTGTTTTGTTGTTGTGCATTACACCTATATGCCTTCATACACAATGTATATTTAATGGGAGCGAGATATAAATAAAAATTTACGAAAACAAAATCTATTCAGTATGTTTAACTTTATATTGTTAATTTAAATCACAGTGCTGACCAAGTCGCTATCAAATGTATTGATCATATAATACACAGACTAGTCTCCGCACTATTACATTTATTGAACCAGTGAGTGAGTTGCATGAAAAACTGGAATATTTTTTTCATTCTCGTTGTACACTGTCCAATTCCTGATGGTCAGCTTCAAATACTAATGGTGTTTGACTTACACCTCCAGTTTAATATTTTGGGTTTATTGTTGTCAAGACCTAACATTCCCAGCTGGTTTCACCCTGTGACGTGTTTACCATGTGCATTGTTAATAAGATACCATGAACTCATTCTACCTTCATTGTGAAACGCACAGGCTGCCTGCGGATGATTCCTCTGGGAAGCAACTGGTAGCTGAGGTTGTGCACACAGGGAAGAAAAAAGATGCCTCCAAAGTGTGTGCGTTGGAAGCTTGTCGAATGTTGGATATGAGAGGCTTGTTCCGGCAGGAAGCAGGTTAGTAGAAACACTACTGTGCCAGAAATATGAGTGTGAATCCAGCAGCAAGGCAGATCAGGGAGAGGCTTTGTGTACACTGCACATAAATCTGCATTCTCACAATTATGTATAGTCATAATATATTTAACAAACAGAAGAGTCGCTATACTTGCAGAAGTGGAGGGGGCACATCATTCATCTGACTGGCAAGATCAAATAACACCTCACTGGGCTTTTTAACCCAGTCACGTGGGGTTTTGACAATCATTTAAAGCCATTTGTGGTATATCCAATCTGACCATTTGTTCAACTAAAAGCTCTTTATTTTTTTATTATTGGCAGCATTGATTTTGCTTGTTCAGCACATTAAGGTGTCCGTTACATTCCCCTTCGAACATGTACACAGTACTGGTCTCTAACACTTCTTCTGGTTGGCAGCTTTTGTATCTGCAAGTCTTTCTGCAAACAGCGTGTCTGTCCGTCCTTTAAAGATCAGGTTACCTATGCTAACTAACTCTCCTGTAGGAAAGAAGTCCCCTATTATTGTATTTTGGTAAAATGTAAATTAAAACCCATAGTTTGGTATATAACTTGTTGATTGGGAGATCAAAAACATAATTTCTGGTCTATAAAACCTGGTTCTTAACAAAGTGAGTTTATTGGAGAGTAAAGGAACACTTCAACGCTCTCAATACCTATCTGGCATAACTCTTTAACTATAATCTATAACTGGTTAGTATAAGCTGTGTACTATTTACAGCTCCTATTATCAGCGAATAAAAAGTTATACACAACAAGTTGATGCCTTTGGGAAGCATCTTCACCTTAAAATTTTATATATATTTGTTTGGTGTGTTAAAGTTTACACATGCAGTATTGGAGGTGAGGCAAGACAAGAGCAGAGGGAATTTGTTGATATTGGGGATAATGCAGAAGAGGGCAGTGGCGAGGTGGTGTAAGGTGTTGAATTGGTCATTTTGCAGTTCTCTGCTTTTCTTTAGTTTCACGGAAAAGGAAATCGAAACAGTGGGAAGCTGAGGATTTCTATGACAGCGATGATGACACTTTTCTAGACCGTACTGGGGTGGTAGAAAAGAAAAGACTCCATCGCATGAAAAAGGCTGGAAAGATTGAGGAGAAGGCAGAAACCTATGACTCCTTGGTAAGGGAACGTGGAAGCCATCAGAGACTATTTCTGAATCTTGCAAGGAATTTTTGTTGTTTTTTTAGTAATAGCTTAAAGGAACACTATAGGGTCAGGAACACAAACCTGTATTCCTGACTCTGTAGTGTTAAAAACACTATCTTCCCCCCTCCCTCCCCCTAAATATTGTAAAATCTTATCTTTATTCCAGTCTGCTGCTGCTGGCTCAGCCCCTCATCTGCCTCCTTGGTCGACATCAACAGAAGTGATAATCTCAGGCAATCACAATGCTTTGGATTGGCTGAGATTGTCAATTCTGATGATCTCAGCCAAGGAGGTGGGCCGGGAGTGCAGCTAGAGGCCGCCCTGGCCGATTAGCATCATTGAATCATGCATATCTATGAGGAAAGTTCAGTGTCTCCATGCAGAGGGTGGAGACACTGAATGTGTGCAGCACTGACCCAGGATGGACCTCTAGTAGCCATCTGAGGAGTGGCCATTGGAGGTGTCCCTAGGCTGTAATGTAAGAAAAATGTTTTCTTAAACACATTTTTTAATTAAATATTTTTTAAACTCTTGCTAAACATTGAGGGGTTGCTGTTTTTTGTTTTAATCCAGGTTGCTAAATTAGCTATCGTAGAGAAGGAGGTAGCGGAAATAGCTTCAAAACTGAAAACATCGCGAACAGGTAATTCAGCTCATGGCACTCAGTGTTCCTGATCACTGCTTTCTCAGAGGGTGTTACTCACTAAAGCAGACACTGCATTAATTTTTTCTTTTTAAACCAACAAGCAAACATCTTTAAACAAATATAAAAACCAAAATAAAGCAAGAGAAACTTTTAAAAATATGTAATAAACAGTTATAAACGTGGTCAGATTGCATTACTGGCCATGCCTCTCAGCTAGGGGGGTTTCATCAACCTACCTCTAACCTATCCAGCTCAGAAAGAGAGCATCATTGTGCAGCACAAACCCAACATGGAGCTTGCTCTTCATTGTAACACCGATCACACCCCCTCTCTTCTCACCCTATCAGGATGTTGCAAGATGAAGAGATCTTCCAACTGCACTTGTGTAAACCTGTCAGGCATGCCCAGTGCACTTTTCCAGCATTCCTAGGGATCGGACACTGATTGGTTAGATCATTGTCCCTTCGGGAGTGGGTGTGGAAAACATGTGCATTGATTCAATGCATCTCTATGAGGAGATGCTGATTTCTGCAGGGCTGTGTTTTGCTGCGCCATGCACAATAGAGTCCAAAAGCATTGGATTGGCTGAGATCATCAAATCTAATTATCTCAGCCAGAGAGTTGGAACGGGGGCAGAGCCGCAAGTAGACCCTTGCAGTGCTGGAATAAAGGCATGAGAGGTGGCACTATCCTCTTCCTTTAGCGCTTTTGAATGATACATTTGTCTCAAAATGAGGCATGTCCCTTTAAATTGGGGAACTGGAACATTTTTTCAGCTTAGCTATTTTGGTCTTAAATTTCCAATTCCTGTCCAAGGCATCTTAACTAAGCAATCTCTTTCTATAATGTTACTTGTGTATGTATGTAATTTAAAGAACAACTAAAGGCACCCAGACATTACATCTTAATGAAGTGGTCTGGAGGCAGTGACTATGTAGCTTTATCCCAGCAATGTAAAACATTGCAGTGTTATGATTGCAGGGTTAACACACCTGTCAGAGTTTGCTGTCAATCAAATGCTGCTCCAGAGAGCATTTGATTGGCGCAGCACAGAGATTTAACTGCATGCACAGTCATGCACTAGCCTCACAATGCTTCTCTGTGGGGAAGCATGTTATTGGGTCATTAAGATTGATGATCTCAGCGTATTTGTTCCTCAAAATAAAGACTTAATAATGTCCTTAGCTGCAGCTGTGGTGGTTTATTTTTTCACTATGGATTCACTGTCCTTTTTGCTCCCTCCCAAACCACCCAGATGAAGCACACTCGAGTGGACAGGGTGATTCCCTTGATGCGTTTATGACTGACATCAAATCAGGGGTCGCCTTGGATGCCGTGACCCGCAAGAAGCTTCACCTGCAATCATTTGAGCTGAAGAAGGAGCAAGAACGACTGAAGGGACTAATAAAGATTGCACAGCCCACCAGACTGCCAGATCTCATGTAAGATTACTGTGTGGCACCCTCCAGCTTGCCTTCTGGGGGAAGAGTTAGGGGGTCTATCTCTGTGTGCATTCTTACTGTGTGGCACTCTACGGCTTGCCTTATCGGAAGGAGTTAGGGGGTCTATCTCTGTGTGTACATGCTAGAGTATGTATCTGGAGCACATCTGAATGCTACAAGAGTTGTATTTAATTTTTTTCCTTTTTGTTTCACTTGCAGTACACCAACACAAGAGTCAACAGCAAAGAAGATAACATTGCCAATGTTTGGTGCAATGAAAGGGGGCAAAAAATGTAAACTGAAAACTGGAACTGTTGGGGTAAGTGTTCTTATTGTTACTGTGTCTGGGTTTGTAGGTTTTGTTCACTTTTGAAAATGGTTTGCAATGTTATTTTAGAAAGAAAATTAATACAACCGTGTATTCCACAGACACTGCCTCCGAAACGTGCAGACCTTCCAGCTAGGTTCTTTGCTACAAAGGATGACAGTAACCAGCCAGTGGTGGAAGAAGAGGAGGAGGAAGATGACGACCTGCAGAAACACACGAAAGAAAGCCAAACTCTTCTGGATTCTGGCAAAGAACAGACTGCTCATGAAGACAGTGAAATAAGAAGCTCTCCAGACACACCTAGTCCTCTCCAGCCCCCACATGGTAACAAAACCACTTTTTGGATCCGATTCGATTTCCTCTGAATGTAATTTTAAACAGCGATGTTACCTCATTCGACTTATCTCACTGTGTTTATACACAATGGCCTGATTTCAGCACATTTCTGTGTGCTGTGCCTTTAAGTTGACATAATTCAACCCTAAACTGTGAATTGTCATTGTTCAACAGCTTTTATGCAATTTTGTGAAAAGTAGGTTAAAAAAAGTGTGTTAGTTGATGTGCCTTATTCTAAACACATAACTTTAAGAATAATTTTATAGGCAGTAAACCTCTTTTTAATGCTTCTTAAAAGTGTTTGGTTAGCTCTGTGCTCAAACTCCCATTAATCTTGGGTGGCAGCAATGGTTATAGAATTCATCAGCTCAGATAGATGAATCAAAACCAAAAAAGAAAAATCATCTGTGCACAATGAAAAAAAATAAACTTTTTTTTTTTTTTTGGTACCACTGCAATGGCCATTAAAGTGTAAGCTTATCTGCAGCATCGCGTAATGTCTGAGTAATTGATCAGATAGACCCAAATTATTTTCCATTTTGTGATTTCATCTGACAATGAGAAGCTTGCCCTCTGACTGCTGTGTATCAATGTGATGTGTGAAGATGCATGCAGATTATCCACTGTTTGGACTTTTAATCTTTTGTTAGACACAAACTGTCAGAGGGTGCCTTTCTTACTAAATGTGATTTGATTGTTTATCCATTAAACATCAAATTGTAGTTAATTGCAATCAAAATTGTAAGCTTAGGCTATAAAAGACAAGTTATGTATCTCCTTTTTTAGACTAAATTGGTGTTACTTTAAAGGGACACGCCGCACACACAAAGCATTTCAGTTTGCTGATGTGCTTTATATGTCTGGAGCCGGTTATATTTGTGACAGTATTAAAGTGCCAATATCAATAGAAATCTGCACTTTTACAATTGTGGGCTGGAACTCCGGGGCTGCTCAGTGGAGCTAACGGAATGGGCAGGCTCACAGGCTAGCTCACACCTGCCTTCCTTCTTCTCCCTGGCTGCTCAGTGGAGCTAACGGAACGGGCAGGCTCACAGTGCTAGCTCACACCTGCCTTCCTTCCTTCTCCCTGGCTGCTCAGTGGAGCTAACGGAACGGGCAGGCTCACAGTCTGCTCACCTGCCTTCCTTCTCCCTGGCTGCTCAGTGGAGCTAACGGAACGGGCAGGCTCACAGTGCTAGCTCACACCTTCTCCTTCTCCTTCTCCCTGAGCCTAGCTCACAGTGCTCAGAGCTAACGGAACGGGCAGGCTCACACAGCTGCTAGCTAACGGAACGGGCAGGCCACAGTGCTAGCTCACACCTTCCTTCCTTCTCCCTGGCTGCTCAGTGGAGCTAACGGAACGGGCAGGCTCACAGTGCTAGCTCACACCTGCCTTCCTTCCTTCTCCCTGGCTGCTCAGTGGAGCTAACGGAACGGGCAGGCTCACAGTGCTAGCTCACACCTGCCTTCTTTCCTTCTCCCTGGCTGCTCAGTGGAGCTAACGGAACGGGCAGGCTCACAGTGCTAGCTCACACCTGCCTTCCTTCCTTCTCCCTGGCTGCTCAGTGGAGCTAACGGAACGGGCAGGCTCACAGTGCTAGCTCACACCTGCCTTCCTTCCTTCTCCCTGGCTGCTCAGTGGAGCTAACGGAACGGGCAGGCTCACAGTGCTAGCTCACACCTGCCTTCCTTCCTTCTCCCTGGCTGCTCAGTGGAGCTAACGGAACGGGCAGGCTCACAGTGCTAGCTCACACCTGCCTTCCTTCTCCCTGGCTGCTCAGTGGAGCTAACTAACGGTGGGCAGGCTCACAGTGCTAGCTCACACCTGCCTTCCTTCTCCCTGGCTGCTCAGTGGAGCTAACGGAACGGGCAGGCTCACAGTGCTAGCTAACACCTGCCTTCCTTCCTTCTCCCTGGCTGCTCAGTGGAGCTAACGGAACGGGCAGGCTCACAGTGCTAGCTCACACCTGCCTTCCTTCTCCCTGGCTGCTCAGTGGAGCTAACAGAACGGGCAGACACACACGCCTGTCTTCCTTCTTCCAGGCTGATCAATGGAGCTAACGGAAGGGGCAGACGCACAGTGCTAGCTCACACCTGACTTCCTTCTCCCTGGCTGCTCAGTGGAGCTAACGGAACGGGCAGGCACACAGTGCTAGCTCACGCCTGACTTCCTTCTCCCTGGCTGCTCAAATTTAGCAGTCTTCTGAAATGAAATATTTCTGTGAAAACTGGTCGAATTTACTGTGGCATTCGCTTCTTAGATCAATTTTGGAACTCTTTAAGAAATACAATCAAAATAGAACGTAACCATCACTTTTCCGAACACTTTGATAAATGATCTCATTTGTGTGGCTGCACCCTCCACCTCCCCATCTCCCAGTGAGGCGCTAAAGTGCATCCACAGCTGTGCCTCTTGTGCTGTTAGTGTTACTGGATAAAGGGATCTTTTGTGAATGTTTTAATCTATGTGATGTTTTTTCCAGTACAATTTATAAACTAAAGGTACAAATACCTGACAGTGAACAGTTTTTAGAGAACACATAAATATGATTTGTTTTTTCCAGCTGCAGAAACAGAAGACAGAGAGGAAAAGTTGATCTTTCAAGGACTAAAGAATGATGTCAGAAGTTCAGACCCTAAAGATGATCTTCAAGGTGTTAGCGACTGCAGATCAACAGGTAATGGGGTCATAAACCGGTGATTAGATGTCTACTGTGTCGCCTTACATCAGTGTCTTAAAAGCTAAATTTCTAAAGATACTGATTTTTGTTTTGTTTTGTTAAATCCCAGAATTGAAAGAGGAGAAAAAAACAAATGTTGCAAAGCAGAAGAAGGTGCAAGGTCCAAGCAGAGTAAGTAAAACCTGCTTTTATGGCAGCTGCTGTCCGGGTTACCATGGTTTAGGTCCCTTAATGCTGATTGATTTGTTTAACTCTCTGCTTTCCATCTGGCTTCCTCTAATTACTTACCATCTGAGTGATGCACAAGCCATCCATGATGCTTAACTGATACATTTATGTTGTGCAAATACTATGGGAGCAACTTTATCTGTAATGAAGCCGGGAGGGGTGATTCGGGACTGTAGCAATCGTTCCTGTGGCTGGCCAGTGTTAGTAGTCACAGCTTTCTGGCTGTTGCCCTCACAGTGTTGATTATTATCCAGAAGAGGATTGTAAAAGGTATCAAGGCAGCACCTCTTGTGAGATTTAAAAAAGGCACTCAAGGTTTCAAAATGTTATCTAGACAACTTTGTCTGTCTAACCTGGCTTCACCTAGCAAGTGGTGGTGCTGACTCTGCTTCTTTACTTGGTTCAGTTTGTGACATTAAACCACCGGCACTAATGGTATAACTATAGAAAATGCTGCATTCTGGTATATCTAGCTTAACATCTAAATAAATAAATATATATATATACACACACACACACACACACACACACAGAACAAAATTATAAACGCAACACTTTTGTTTTTGCCCCCATTTTTCATGAGCTGAACTCAAAGATCGAATACTTTTTCTCTCAAATATTGTTCACAAATCTGTCTAAATCTGTGTTAGTGAGAACTTCTCCTTTGCTTAAATAATCCATCCACCTCACAGGTGTGGCATATTAAGATGCTGATTAGACATAGAGGGCCATATGATGGGAATTAAATGAAGGCCCAGTATGACCGCGTGTGAAGACATTGGACCTGAAACAAGACCAGGTTAACATTTACTCACAACCTTGCTATATTTGAGAAGTTTCAATATGCTATATATGAAGGATATATGATAAACCTGATAAATTGATATAGGTGAACCGAAGGGCTTAATGTGAGGTAAAGATAAATATAATGTACATAATGAGGGATTGCAATTACCCCATGATATTGGCCAAATGCAGGTCTTAAAGGACCACTATATGGTCAGGAACACAAACATGTGTTAAAACCACCATCTAACCCCTCATGCCTCCATAAATATAGCAAAATCTTACTGTATTCAAGCCTGAAGCTGTAACTCTGCATGCTGTTTGCCTAAAAAACAAGCAGTCTGCTGACATCAGCAGAAGTGGTGGCCTAATCCAATCACAATGCTTCCCCATAGGATTAGCTGAGACTGACAAAGAGGCAGATCAGGGGCAGAGCCAGCATGATTCAAACACAGCCCTGGCCAATCAGTATCTCCTCATAGAGATGAATTGAATCAATTAATATCTATGAGGAAAGTTCAGTGTCTGCATGCAGAGGGAGGAGACACTGAATGTTTGGATGCATTTTAGGATCTCTAACAGCTATCTGAGGAGTGGCTAGTGAAGTTATCACAAGGCTGTAATGTAAACACTGCATTTTCTCTGAAAAGACCTTGTTTACAGCAAAAAGCCTGAAGGTAATGATTCTACTCACCAGAACAAATTCAAAAAGCTGTAGTTGTTCTGGTGACTATAGTGTCCCTTTAAGGATAGGTATTGTTTCGATAATATGTAATATAATTGGGTAGTATGCAACCCCTGTAAGACAGATGTAATGCAAATGAAATGTCCAAATGAGGTGCCAAGTTAGGACGTGGCATGTTGCCCACTGTGGGGCATATGACCACACATTGTAAAGGCCTAGTGAGGGCCATGTGTTTAATACCAGAAGGTGTCCCAATTTGGTTTCTGAGACGCAGGATGGTTGTGCAGCTGTGTTGGGATTAATGCAGGTGAAGGATGGATGTGAATCAGAGAATTGTTGTGCAGAAGTTGTATGTAACCAATACATGTTGGTGATGAGAATCTGAGAATTACAAATAATCATCTAGTTTATGAAATGGCAAACAGAATAGAAACCATTTGTAAACACTTATAAAGCATCATAGAATACATACCCACGGAGCCAAATAAAACGGGGTGTCGGCAGACAGAATCAAAAACGGGAACAAAGGCCCGTGCCTCTAGAATGCCACAGTGGCTGAACTGGCTAGCGGCCGTGACGGCTGTACACAGTACATAGGAAGAGACAGGAGATATAAGATATACATGCGGAATGCTTAGGAGAATAAACACTTATGCATACACAACCATGGGAGAATCAGATTGAAAGCAACAGCAAATGCTATAACAATGGTAGAATATCTCAGTAATATCGACATCAGCTATAACTTCATGCTTAAACTGAACATGACTGAGGTTTACGTAATGTATTATTTGTAGACCCTACAAATAAGACCGTAAAAGTAATCACATTGCCTGAGCTGGCCTAATATGGCTAAATATGATTGACACGTGTTCGTGCAAACGATAAAACGGGCGGCCTAAAGTGGGCCGAAATGTTAACCATGTCTAAAAAGTGGATGAGGTTGTACTGTATTAGGAAAACCTGTGCGATGGAAGGTGGGAAATAGATGTGCTTGAGTGGTCGAATGAGGCCATAGCAGAAAATAAATCATAAAATGCAGTTATCAAATTAAAAACCCATACCAGGTGGTAGAAGTGAAGTCTTCAGTACAAATTGACACCTCCATAATTAAACCCCCACCCTTCCCCCCCCCCAATTAGCCCAACAGAGCCAAACTCAAGAGGCAGCAACTGCCCAGAGCACCCACCTTGCAAAGACTTCTCATTTAACTGGACCAGGAAGTCAGAGATTGGACAGCCACAGAAAGACAGGGGAGGGCAGGCAGAAGCAGCAGACAAGAGAACTGCAGATTTTGCAAGCGGTTTTAAATCATACCCCTATGAAAAATTACATAAATGCATGCATGTTGTGATTCGGGGCACATCCACTAATCAGGGATTTCCACTTAGTTTATATTTGGGCAGCGGCACGTCCCTTCAAGTGCATGCAGCATTAATAGAGATCATACAGAGATGTAAGCAATAGGCAATACAAAATGACCCTGGAATAACCTAAAATAGCAAACTCGTTATTTGCAGAAAAATATGAAAGTAACTTCGGGCAAACGTGAGAAATCAGGACAACATTAGCGAGCCAGAATTAGTTGAGGCTTAAATATGCAGGGATGGCTTAGTACTTAGTAGGCAATAACCGAACACATATCAAGCAGGCTGTTACAGTGAAACAAATCCACTTTTTTTTTTATTTTTTATAGCCACATGTACAGGGCCAAGTTTGGGCCTGACATAAATTTAGGCAGTCAGTTGCAACACCTAGCCACATGATTAATAAGTAATGTAGGTCCAATGAGTGCCTGAATACTCAGAGGGCGGACACATAAAACATTAAAAATAGGGCGGCAACTGAAATGCCTATGATACATTTTATTAGTTTGAGTTTGTTTAGTAAGCATATTTTTAGACATTTAGCAGATATTCCCATTTGAACAGGACGAAGAATTTTTAAGTTTTATTGTGTACAGAGAATGTATATAAAATTTTATATTTCTGTTTCCTCTACCACATGTATAGGCCCAAATTCGGGCCTGACATAAATAAAGACTGTTGCAACACCTAGCCACATAAATACTAAACAATGTAGTCCTAATGAGTACATGAATACCCAGAGGGCAGACAAATGAAACATAAAGAGAAGGGTGACGACCGAATTGCATGATAAAAGTCGATATGGCCAAATACAGTAAGTAAAAGCATGAACCTACTTGAAGCATTGCTGTAATGCTATGTACGATTGAAATAGGCTGAAATTGCATTGGTAGTGAAACCCGCCATATCCGAATGAACAAACTTACAGTTTTGTAGAGGAAAAAAATAAAATGTGTGAACAGTAACAGCCACGGCTGGGCCAGACACAGCGGTGCGCCATGAGCTTCGAGGAAGGAGTGGGGTAGAATGAATACTCACGTGGGCCACACTAGGCCAAGACCAGCTTGTCTGGCGTTTCGGCAGTTTGTGTTGCTGTTCTTTGAACTGGAAGTAGATGGATCTGTACTGAACCAGACAGTCTCAGCCCAGAGGAAGGGGCCACCTGTGTATTTATAGCAATATCCCCTCCCACAACTACAGGCTCAGCCTTTTTCTATATATTTATTTATTTATAATAGATGATTATGGAACAATTTTATTTTTAATGTGCTATCTATAATTTGTAATGCATTAAAAAATAGTGTCTGCTTTTTATACCATAGTTTCTGTTTTAACTCAAAATATTCATAATTTTTTATTTATTTATTTTAAATCTCACAGCCTCCACAAACCTTGACTTCATCACACTACCCCGAGGATGACCCAGATTACTCTGTGTGGACACCACCTTCAGGTAATGGCACAACGTATAGACTTCAAATGCAATTACTTTTGTCCAGTCCATTCCAGTGCTTCTAGTGATAATGATATGGGACCTACAGTGCATGGGCCAGTGCTTCTCCAGTGGGCATGCATGAAGCTTTGGGTCCTTCTTTAAAAATTACAAAATGTATTTCACATTTTAAAAAAAGCAGAAACGGCAATCATCATCATCATCTAGTGCTTTTCACCAAACAGCCATTCATAGATTGCATGGAATTTGGAAATCATTGTGAGAACGTGCTCATATATCTCGACTAACAATACATAGCATCATGATTCAGTATGGGCAGTGATCCATACTATGTTAACGTGTATAATTATGCATTGCGAATGTCTGCTATTTAAATAAGGACAGATGTCCTCCTATCTCATAATCAAAACGAATGATTAGATGTAAACAGCAATCTACACATCCTCTGAGCAGCTCTCGGCATTGTAAGCTTGCTACATATTTGCTTAAACATTATCGCACAGTTGTGTATTTTTTATCTTCCCTGATACTGAACAGAAAATGCGAGTAGTTTTTTTCTGAGTGTTTCTACATGCATGAAATGCCAGTGCTTTTGAAGCATACATAGATGGTAATATAGGCTGACAAAGAATCCAATTTGTACTGTATAACTGCTGGTGCCTTTTCTTTTTGGTTTAAGCTTACTTGCCAATGCTCGATCTGTCTGGTTTTGGGCCCCAGTAAAAAACTGAATCTTTTTCACAGAGTTGGGAGCTCCTTCAGGGTTATTTGTTAAAATTAAAAATGTAAAATTTCTAAATTACAAGTACACTCCATTGAAAATTTGTTAATTTGTTTTTGTTTGTTTTTTTGTTGTTTGTTTTACAATTTAGTAGATATCTCCTCCCACCCCCCACATACATTCATTTATTGGGAGTGTAACTAAAATAGCAAAAAGCTGCAATCCTCTTGTCTGCAAACTTTGCCAGCCATACGTTTTTTTTTTTTTTTTGCTGCTTCCCAATGCTTCTCAACGAGCAGCTTGTTAAAAAAAGAAAGGGGGGAGGAGGAGGCAGGCCCCGCTACTTCCATTAGTTCTGTAGAAAACCTTTCTGTCACCAGGGAAGTGATTCTTCTACCAAATAAAGTGTAGATTTCTATTAAAATTGTCACTATTATTAACCCTTCATAAATGTGTCCGGGTTTCAGACACACAAAAACTCCTATAAAGTGGCCTGAGTGCATTCTCCCTGTCCTCTTAACACTGCAATTTTTTTGAGAAACATTACATTGCATCTATTTGATGTCAGTATGGCAGTCACTTGAAGTGTTTCCACTGCACTTACAGAGTAAAATTCTTTGAGAAGCCTTGGATTGGACAACTGCGTCCTCTGTGACATTGCCGGGGGAGAAGAACAAGGTGAATAAAACTGGCTGGCAGACTAATATTACTTTAGACAGGGGCACTATAGCGTTGGGATTACACGTTTGTGTCCCTATTGCTATCATATTCCTTTGAGTGTGTTACATGTCCCTTTAATGCACAGTGAATAGTAAGCCATAAAAAGTTGAATTGGGAACATTCTGTAAATCCTCTTTGCTTCCAGTTCTATTTGGGGCTGAGATTTAAAATTTGTTTAGAGTTGACATGACCTAAAAAGTCACGGTTTGACCTCAATTTTTTGAAATTGACATAATTGCCTATTTACTGGAATCTCATGTCTTTGCTCTTAGGCCAAACAGGTGATGGACGAACGCATCTGAATGAAAAATATGGTTACTGAAACCAAGATCCGTCCTTAAAAACAAGCTGATGGTGGCAACCCAATAGAGCAACTGAAAATGGTCATGTTATGCTGTGCTACCCGTGTCTGTTTGAGGGTTAAAGGAGCGATTCTACGGGTTTGCTGTTTGCTTCCCATAAGTAGTGTTCCTCTAGGGAGCGGTTTGCACAAACCACATTTATATCAGGTAGCTCCTTATTACTCCGTACTCTGAGCTCCAGGAAAGTGCTGGTATACTAAATGCCCTATTTAATTTAACCAGTATTGACACTTACAATCTGAAAGTCATGTGCAAACAGCACATTGCTGCAAAGTATGTGTAGAATAATTCTCCTACCCTTCTAACCGAAGTAGAATGGCCTCTGAGTCATTCTCCCATGCTCGCAAGATGCAGTGCACGAGATCGCTTAACAAATGAAGATCACAACAGAATGATTGTTTTAGGGACAATAAGATGCTTCGTGTCCCTAATTGTCTTCTCCCATATCTTTGCCTTTATGTCCACATTTCTACAAATAGTATGGCCCTGCATGACAACTGTATGATTGCTTCCTGAAATAGAGTAAAAATAGAGCCACACAGCAGGAATACATTTACTAAAGTCGATACTTCTCAAACCATGCATTGGATTGGACGATTCTCTGACTGGTTTCCCCTCTACCATAGGATTTGTATCAAGTACAGAAAAGAAGTTTAAACCCCCGTATAACATGTACAGATATCTGATTTCTGGATTTGAAGCCTGGCTGGTCCAAAGCTCAGTGGAGAACTTATGCATGTGAGCTGCTAAGATCACGACATAATGGCTATTGGGAAAGCTAAAATAGTCATCGCCAACTTACATCATAGCTGCATTTTGAGCACCAGGTGTGCATATCATCCCTTTGTTAACACGTCCCCCGGATGCCTCCATTGGCCTCCAAAGTACCTTACTCACATCATTCACATTGAATTATTTCACACGTTTCGGATTAAATTGTTTTATTGAAACCACAAGCTTTGTAAAGCAGAGCTTTTATAATAGGTTTGTAGTTTATATGCCATATAGATCCCTTTACGACATTAAGCTTGTTTTTGGTGTGAATATTTTTGTTGTGTTGAGTATGTTTGTTTTCATTATTTTAGTTCTATCGTGTATAATTCTGATGCTATAAATACCTCTGTTTGTAGTCTTGTTTCTAAAATAAGATTAAAAATACCATGTGAATGTGTGACTTGTTTTTGTTGTACATGTTTTGTGATACAGATTTTTCTTTTTAAAATGCAAACAAGAAGTTTCATTAAGCAATAATGTGACTAACACATCCACAATGATACAGCCATGACGGTACTGCATCATAACCCTCTCTAGCGATTAATATGGTAGGAGAACTCTAGCGCCATTTTACCTGGGTAAATAACATTAACTCTTGTTCCGGGCTGAAAAAAATCCCCCAATGATGCTGCAAGAGTTGGAGTTACACCTCAAACTTTGTATGTGCAGAGCTTCATAACAAAATGTGTAAAAAATGCATACGGACTCCAGGCACCATGACCACTTCCTATCACTGAAGTGGTCATGGTGCTTATTTTAACACTTTAATGATGAGTTTTAAACTAGTGGTGCGGGGAGGGACATAGGCATCTACAAAATGGAGATAGGACAGAAATGAGATGGGCTTTACCTTAGGGGGGTGGAGAGCCTAAATAACAAAATGGAGGTACTAAAGTCAATAGCCTTCACTAAACAATATGACATAATAGACATAACATGGTGGGATGAGACACATGACTGGTCAGTTAACTTATATGGTTACACGTTATTAAGGAAAGATAGACAAAAAAGGAAAGGTGGTTTGGGGTATGTTTATATGTCAACCATAAATTAAAGCCAATTCTCAAGCAACTGGAATTTAATGAAGAAAATGTGGAAGCTTTATGGGTAAATATCTGCTTGGGGCAAAATAATGGAAATCCATTATTGGTTGGGATATGTTCTAAACCACCATGTGAATAGTGATGAGGAACAACAACTCACAAGGTCAGAGTCATACCGTCATATGACTCTAATGGTATGCTTCCTTGGACCATTTAGGGGTTGACATCACAGCCAACTGAGGAAGCCTGGTGAGCAGGCGAAACGCGTTTTGGACTTTACATTTGGACTTTTATTGGACCTTATACTTACCCAGTATTATCTGGCATATGTAACTTTTCTTTTTTATTTTATATTTGAAATAAATATTACCATTAAAGGACCATCACCATATTGGGTATTCCTTGGGGTCACCCATTAAGGAACACAAGGGGAATCACCAAGAATCCAGCTAAAGAAGGGTCTGGACAACCCCTAAATGGTCCAAGGAAGCATACCATTAGAGTCATATGACGGTATGACTCTGACCTTGTGAGTTAAACCACTCTTCACTTCTGTTTTACAGTATTTTACAGACATATTGTGCTATTTGTTTGTATTGATTATGTTTTACAGATAATCCGTGATATCTAACAGTTCCGCCTATTATATTGTATGTATTGCTATATGTTTACAAGTGGTGTAGGGGATACCACTTTATAGGTGTATTTGAGCTACTGCACTTTCTTTTTCTCACATTGTGTACACATTACTTCACGTTATAGGAACAACTGTTTGAGCAAATTGGGAAAGCTGCAAATCTGGCTAACACGTTAATTATTGGAGATTTTAATTACCCGGGCATAAATTCGGACAGAGGGACTAATAGTTCAGCAAAGGGAATAAGGTTTTTGAACTTTAAATGACACCTTCATGTCACAACTTGTACATGCACCAGCTAGAAAGGACGATTGTCTGGATCTGGTTCTAACAAACAATGTTGATCTGTTAAACAACATTCAGCCTTTGTGAAATAGTGATCACAATATAGCTCTCCTTGAAATAAACTCAAAAAAACAAGTGCACATGGAATATACTAAAACATAATTTTTAAAAGGCCAATTTCAATAAGACAACGGCAGCGTTATATTGACTGGCGTAAACTATTTAGTGAAAAAAAACATGGAGTACAATTGGAATATATTCAAACAAATATTATAAAGGTGTATTTCTCAGTATGTACCATTGGGTAATAAATATAAAAGAAACAAATTAAAACCAGTGTGGCTTAGTGGGAAAGTCAATCAAGAAATTAAAAATAAGAAAAGGGCATTTAAAGTACTTAAATCGAACAAATCGGTGACATCCTATAAAAGATATAGGGAAGCCAATAATGCATGAAAAAAGGTGATTAGATTTGCTAAACTACAAAATGAAGTGATCGCCAAAGAGAGCAAAACCAACCACAAAGTACATACATTCTAAAATAAAAAATGAAAGTGTAGGTACACTAAAAACCGGGATGGGGGTGTTCGTTAATGAAGACTAGGAAAAGGCAGAAAATTTAAATCACTATTTCTCCTCTGTATATATTAAAGGGCCACTATAGGCACCCAGACCACTTCAGCTTAATGAAGTGGTCTGGGTGCCAGATCCAGCTAGGTTTAATCATTTTTGCTGTAAACATTGTTTCAGAGAAACTGCTATGTTTACGTTAGGGTTAATCCAGCCTCTAGTGGCTGTCTCATTGACAGCCGCTAGAGGCGCTTCCGCGTTTCTCACTGTGATTTTCACAGTGAGAAGACGACAGCGTCCATAGGAAAGCATTGAGAATGCTTTCCTATGAGACTGGCTGAATGCGTGCGCCGCTCTTGCCGCGCATTCAGCCGATGACGACAGAAGAGGGAGGAGAGTCCCGGCGCTGGAAAAAAGGTAAGGGATTAACCCCTTCCTCCCCTTTCAGCGCCACAGGAGTGGGACCCTGAGGGTGGGGGCACCCTCAGGGCACTACAGTGCCAAGAAAACAAGTTTGTTTTCCTGGCACTATAGTGGTCCTTTAAGGAAGAACCTATGGTTATAGAAATGCAAATGATTGCTGCAAAACACTTGCAGAAAAAGTGTGATTGGATGACTCAAGACAAGTTGCTGCAGTAGCTAAACAAAGTTCCATGGCCTAATGATATTCACCACGAATACTTAAGGAACTAAGTGTAGAAACAAGTGAACCTCTGTTTTTAATCTTTCAAGATTCTTTTTTTTTATCCATATAGATGGCACTGTCATGTGGTCCTTTTGGAGAGCTTGATGATTCTTTTTACACTTTAACCCCTTAACGCCGTTACGGCGTTCTATGCCGTCGCGGCTTTAAAGCCGTTGCGGCGGCATAGAACGCCGTAACGGCTTTCAGCCCCAGGGGATCGCAGCTACTTACCTCCGCTGCGATCCTCTTCTGGAGGGCTGCCTGACCGCCCAGGCAGCCCTCCTCCGGCAAGTGAGGCCCCCGGGGGCCATGTGATCGCTCTCAAAGAGTGATCACATGGCCCCCTATAGCTGGCTATGGATCTGCCAGCAGGGGGACTGTCTGAAATATCAGACAGTCACCCTGCTGGTGGGAAATGGAAAAAAAATAAAAAATTAGACGTGTAAAAATAAATTGAAAGTATTTACATATATATAATATATATTATATATATGTAACGTCATACATAGTGTATTTTAATACTAATAATAGTATATATATTAGTATTAAAAAACACTTAGAATGACGTTACATATATATAATATGTATATATATTATATATGTAATAGATATATACACATATATATATATACGTATAATTACATTAATAAATAAATAAAATAAATGAAATATTGAAACAAAATTTTATTAAAATTATATATTAATATGTAATTTCATTCTAACTGTATTTTGTTAATATATATATATATAGGTAACAAAATACACTTAGAATGACATTCTATATATATATCTCTCTATATATAAAATACAAATAACCGCAAATATATATATATAGATAAATACATATAATTACATAAAAGATTACATTAGTATACACGTAGAATTTAAATACCTATAAATGCATATATATTAAAATTCTACGTGTATATTTAAGTAATCTTTTAACATAATTAGGTGATTTGATTTATTAAAATTTGATTGACATGCCTGACAACACAGGGAGAAAGTGCAGAGAATTTAATTTGCAAGCACTATTACACCATAACACCTGTACATAGGGGGTACGGTTTTACTCGGGAGACTTCACTGAACTCAAATATTAGTGTTTAAAACTGTTAAATTGTATTACAATGATGATATTTTAAATAAAAGTGAAGTTTTTTGCATTTTTTACAAACAAACTGCACTTTTATGGACTATATTATTGTTGTAATATGTTTTACTGTTTTAAAACACTAATATTTGTGTTTAGTGAAGTCTCCCAAGAATAACAGTACCCCCCATGTACAGGTTTTATGGTGTTTTGGAAAGTTAGAGAGTCACATATAAGGCATGCATTTCATTTTTTTGACATTGAAATTTGCCAGATTGGTTATGTTGCCTTTGAGAGCGTATGGTAGCCCAGGAATAAGAATTACCCCCATGATGGCATACCATTTGCAAAAGTAGACAACCCAAGGTATTGCAAATGGGGTATGTCTAGTCATTTTTAGTAGCCACTTAGTCACAAACACTGGCCAAATATTAGTTTTTTGCTTTTTTCACACAAAAACAAATATGAACGCTAACTTTGGCCAGTGTTTGTGACTAAGTGGCTACTAAAAAAGACTAAACATACCCCACTTTCAATACCTTGGGTTGTCTACTTTTCAAATGGTATGCCATTATGGGGTAATTCTCATTCCTGGGCTACCAAACCGTCTCAAAGGTAACATTACTAATCTGGCAAATTTCAATTTGAAAATGGAACGTTCTATATTTGACCCTGTAACTTTCCAAAACACCATAAAACCTGTTAATGGGGGGTACTGTTGTACTCGTGAGACATTGCTGATTACAAATATGTGCATCTTTTTGCAGTAATACCTAACAGTATTATGACATTAACAGCTAAAATGTCAGACGGAAATACAAATTTAAAAAAAAATCTTATTTTCTAAACATTTTTTAAATTTTATTCATAATAAATGATGTTCCATATATGAATAATTAATGATACATTAAAGCCATGTTTCTCCTGAACAAAATTATATATAATAAGTGTGGGTGCACTTAATGTGACAGCGGTGAATTACGGTTGAACAGACATATAGCGCAAATTCCAGTTTTTGTTTACGTTTTGTTTTGATCAGAACGTGCACTATTGACTCCGTCCTGAAAGGGTTAATATTATGTGATGATCTTTCTGCACCCTAATGCTATGTGACATTCTGTATCTATAGTTTTGATTAGGTGAATGAAGATTACGGTTTTTATTGGTTTTCTCTTTTTTTTATTATGTATGTGTATATACAACATAGCCTAACATATATTTTTTTCTGTTTACTATTGGTGATTATGTGTATAACACATTTTCAAATACCATTTGCTTGCCAGCTTATCACCATAGCTAAAATTCCCCTTATGTAAGAGTTAAGTGTTTTTTTCATGTATAAGCTCCCTGGTTATATATTGCATTTTTAATACTTCTGTCTCCCTTTCTAATTCACCGCAATGGACATTATGAATTACTGCCTGGAGCTATATTGCCAGCGAACATCATCCCAGAATACAATATGGCAATACCGGAAGAGACGTTTGACGCTCTCCGACACGTCAATTCCGGGTACACGAAAATAAACGCAAACAGCCGATTCAGCCAACACCTCCTCGGACCGGCGATTTGATTGGACAGGAGATACACAGGGAGACCAAACACGGACGAACCGCCAGGTATAAAACCGGCACAACACGCACAGAAGAGGATACCGATTGAAAAAGCCTGTTGGTTCAGGCGAAACGCGTCTCGGACTGCTTTGGATGGCTACTTAATTTTTTGTGACTGAATATTTGTGGTATTTTTTTATTTGTTGTTTTAATATACCCTATACTTTGGTTAATACATTTTTTTAAATTTATCTAAGTACCATATTTTGCTATTGTCCACTGCTGCAAAGAAGAGTTGTGCCCTCTTAAAGGCACAGTGTGCATTGCTCTGAGAGCCCAGTACTTTGGGTCTCTACAAGGTGAGCAGTGAATACCACACTTTATTCACAGTTGTAGTGAGGATTTTCTGTTTAAAGTGGTGGGTTTTCCCCACTCAAATAATATTTCACCATCTGGTTGGCATGTTACTGTATTAAGTTAGAGGTACTAACACGAGTGTTGAGCAGCTTTTTTAAACTTTTGGTGTAAATTAATCTTTAGCGCCTTACATTGACACAGCACATTTGGTTTAAAATTAATAAACAGAATGGAACATTTTAGCTATGAAGAAAGGTTAACAAATTTAAACCTCTTTAGTTTAGAAAAATGGCACCTCAGAGGGGATATGATAACATTCTCTAGCATGTAAGCTCATCAACCCCCCCGCTCCCGTGCATTCCTGTGCATCCATTTGTCTGGTTACAATTACGTGTCTGTTAGTCCACCCATTTTGTCAGTGCTACAGAATTTGCTGGCGCTATATAAATAATAAAATAATTATACAGATATTTCCGGGTTCAATACAAACCATTGTCTGGATATGTATTCACAAACAGGACTTTACATAGGACACGAGGTCACGCGTTTAGACTGGAAGAAAGGAGATTTTGTTTTTTACCATAAGAACAATAAGTTTGTGGAATTTTCTGCCTGAAGAAGTGGTTTTATCAGAATCTGTACATTTGTTTAAACAGCAACTAGATGCATACTTGCAAAAAAACTTAATAATCAAGAATGTAATGTTTCAATTGTAGGGTAATAGATTCCAGGCATAAATCTGACTGCCATTCTGGGGTCAAGAAATGTTTTTTTCCTAGTTTGTTGCAAAATTGGAAGAAGGTCAAACGTTTTTTTTCTTTCTTTCTTTAGGATCAACATCAGAAAACAGATGTGAGGAAGGCTGAACTTGATGGACACATGTCTCTTTTCAGCCTATGTAAAAATTATTATAGACAGGAAAAAGAGAAATCTTCACGTGATCATAGATTACAGATAGAGAGATAAAATGTATGGGTTCTTTTGAGTGTAATCTCCATATGGTGTCAATTGAACAGTGGCATTCCACCATACAGTTCCTCTGCACAAGTTAGGGACTGACCAAAACACTGACTTAGTGAGGAAGGCATACATTGAATGAATTCAAAATTAGGTTCGGATATTCGGGTAAATAAAAACATTTGTCTGCTTCGGCAATTCGGATCAATGGCATTCGGTTCAGTTCGGGACTTCAGCAATTTGGACATTCGTAAGCATCCCTTTCTTGTTTTGCCACTCTTCAGAAATCCGTAGCACTTTGCCACCACAACCACATACAAATCTGTAGGCTCACTAACCACCACAACCACTTACACATCTATAGGGCTCCCAGTGCCCGGACTGCCACCACAACCACTTACACACCTATAGGGCTCCCAGTGCTAGGAATTAGCTTATTGGTTTCATGTCATCATTCACTTAATGTTCGCTCCCTCTCTTGTTTTGCCACTTTTCAGAAATCCAAAGCAATTCGGTTCGGTTTGGCAATTAGGAAATTCGAACTTTGGACATTCGTAAGCATCCAAATTGCATAAAATATGTCCAAGTGTACATTTGGAACAAAACAAATTGCACATGTCTATTCAAAATCAAGTTCCACTATTCAGACTGCAACAGCCAGGCAATGACTTTAGCCTAGTTAGAGAAATTTTCTGAATCGGCTCCTGCTGCCGCCTACGTGTTCAACTTGTTTTTTCAATTGTGTGGTATTTAGTGAATAAAATTCCTGGCAGTATGAAGATAATCATATGCCGAAGGGATGGAAAATTATTCTGACGGAAAAGTATTTTTTTTTTTTTTATTCTGCCTCATATGAATGTGATATACTGCTATGAGATCTTTTCTGCAAAAGCCTACAGCAATAAACATTCAGGATGATTTGGCAATCATCCTGACACGGTCCTCTAAAGGACCACTAAAGTCACCCAGGCTACACTCAGCATGCGCATTTTTGTTTGTACCAGAACAGAGAGAATCTAGTTTGGGTGTTTGAGCTGCCTTCAACTGTATTATCTAGAAACCTATATTGTAAAGCTGTAGGAATGCTTTGATTGGGGTGAATGTTATTTTCGTTAGTTGGTAGGTTTTAGAACAAAGACTTGAATTGCATGCTTAACACCACAATTTGATATTTTGGACAGCACACAATGATCAATACCATGTGGCTATGTCTGTGACAATATAAAGCCATCTACTCTGATTTATTCCAGTTGTCTCTGTTAACACAAATTGACTGTAGAGCACATTTGCTCCAGTTAAATCAATTGTATCTTAAGTTTGAGAACTGTTCTGTTGTGTCCTTACTGTTGAGACACAGAATCCATCCAGACTTTCCATGTGGCCACACATTACTGAGCTGTGGTCGACTTGCCATTGTGAATATCTAGACTCATCGTTCAATCGATTCAACATCTAGAGAGCCAAGCCAAAATGGAAATACTTAGTTTGGCTTCATAAGACCACCCTTTCTTATCCTAATTTCATCCTGCAGGTTTTTGGGGGTTTTTTTCATCCCAAAGTATCCCAAGGCTTCGGGGAGTTGTAATTCAGTTGTTAACTTTCTACATTAGAAATCTAACAAATGAACCACAACATTCAGAAACCATTTCAATGTGCATTCACTGATCACAACATTAAAACCACTGACAAGTGATGTGAATAACATTGATTATATTGTTACAATGGCACCTGTCAAGGGGTGGTATAGATTAGGCAGCAACTGAGTCAGTCAGTTTTGAATTCCATGTGTTGGAAGCAGGAAAAAGGGACAAAGAAGATATCTGAGTGACTTTGACAAAGGCCGAATAGCGATGGCTAGACGACTGGGTCAGAGCATCTCCAAAACGGCAAGTCTTGTGGGGTGTTTCTGGAATGCAGTGGTTAGTACCTGCCAAAATTGGTGCAAGGAAGGAAAACTGGTGAACCAGCATCAGGGTCATGGCAATCATATGGATGTTATTTATACACATACCACCTACCTAGAGATTGCTGCAGACCATGTGTACCCCTTCATGGCAATGGTGTTCCCTGATGGCAGGGGCCTCTTTCAGCAGGATAATGCACCCTGCCACACTGCAATAATTGTTAAGGAATGGTTTGGGGAACATGACAAAGAGTTCAAGGTGTTGCCTTGGCCTCCAAATTCCCCAGTTCTCACTCTGACTGAGTATCTGTGGGATGTGCTGGAACAACAAATCTGATCCATAGAAGCCCCACCTCGCAATTTGCAGGACTTAAATGATCTTCCGCTAATGTCTTGGTGCCAGATACCACAGGACACATTTAGAAGTCTTGTGGAGTCCACGCCTTAACGCATCAGAGCTGTTTTGTTAGCACGAAACATACCCACACGCTATTAGAATGGTGGTTTTCATGTTGTGGCTTATCAGTGTATATCGATCACTCCTTATGGGAAAAGCTCAGTAATGGCATAGAAAGTACAGAATGCATTAGTCAGAGCATGGAGTAAGGGAAGAAACAGCAGGACTTTATATGTGAATATGTTCTGTGTTTTAATTATATTTATTGTTTTTATTTGTATTTGCCATATAATGTATTAAAAGTAAAGGGTCAGGTTTATTATAAGGGATTGTTAACGGTGCAATCCTTACAGATCCTACTCTCCTCATTCTGCATTGTCTGGATTCAGTACAGTAATGAATGTTTCTTTGTTGAATAATAGACATGTGCAAGAGTGAAATTTTCATTTCGTACAAATTATTTCATACTAAATAAAAATTTAATTCGTCAATCCCGAATTTCATGTGCAAACCATTTGTTTTCCAATGAAATTCGATAAAAATAATTTGTTTTCGTCTATTAGGATGAAAACAGCACTGCGCATGCGCAAAAAAACAAGGAGGGAGCCGGCACCGCCACCAGTTCCCTCCTTGTAATAAATATATATTCCTACCCCCCCTGCATTAAAACCTATTGGGTTCACTATGACCCTCATATTAATAAAAGGAGGTTAAATGCTCCTGCATGCCCCTACTTGCGGCATGTCACCTAAACAAATTATGCCCGGTCACTAGTGTAATAAGGAGGGACCTGGCACAGGTTAAATCCTGCTGCCCCTACTTGTGCGAGGTGCCCCGGTGTAGTAGGGGCATGTCGCCTAAACAGCAAGCAGCCGGTGGCTGCTGGTTGTCATTTAAAACTGGATATAAAAATCAGTATCTTATATAGAATTCTATCGAATTCCCCTGCAACACGTAGTCTATTAAACAAACTAAACGAAACGGTAATGCATTCGGCATTTGCCCTTTCGTTTAGTTTATATTTCGTTTGTAGGGCTTTCATTTACGTTTTAGTAAACGAATACTAAAAAAACAGAATTTTCGTACGAAATTGTATTTGTACAAAAATGACTGTACATGTCTATTGAATACATTTTTATGATCAGACTGCGACTGTGGAATGGATCAACGGGAAATGGCAGATATCGCAGTGAACACCTGTTCACATCATTGACAGACACCTACAATTGGAGTTACATCCAATCTTTAGTCCATGAACTGGGATGTCATGTCCAACAGTAACGGAATCTGTCCAAAATACATAAATATACAAGTAGAACTAAATTAAAACGAACTAAATACCAAACAGCAGGGAAACAGAAAATAAAAATTTAGGCAAAAATAGATGATTTTGAAAAATCCTCCCATTCGGTTTGTCACTTCTTGGCTATTTAATTCACCACAACTTGTTGTCTAATGCTTAAAC